GGCTGCAGTTCAGTGCTCCATGTGTCAAAGGCGAGGCGATAATCAGCTATTGATCGATCGAAAGTCACACTGCCTCGTTCGTCAACAACTAAGACCTTTTTGTCATATCGCACGAACTGCTACGTTGGTCGCCTGGCCTGGTCTGCAAGGAAGATAGGGGGTGCTTTGCAAGCTGATGCTGTGGGCCGACAGTGTCTGCGATTGTGAGGGAGCATGACGATCCGAAAGGCTACAGACTGAAGCCGGCTTGCGGCCAACCACCCATATCAAACCAGCTCCGATCGCCAGTGGGAAGCCGATTGGGAAGCATTCGGGAAGCCACGTCGTTTGCTGCAGGAACCGGCAGTTGCACGAGCGTCATGGTACCTCTATCCTGCACGGCGGAGAAGACGGGATGGCCACGATTCAAGGTCGATAGAGGTCTTCGTACCATCCCTAACAGCCTTTGCAGGTAATCGAGATGGACATTGGACAGCAGAAGCTACGTGCTAGCTTCGATCATCATGGACACGTACGTGCCTATGAGCAAATGAACAGGATTTGGCTGTGGTGGTTGATTCGACCAAGAACGCATGTATCACCTTCCCGCTGGGCTCCGATACGTGGTACGTACTTGTTCCACGACACGCGATTACGAAACGGAACATTGGATGTTCGGAACAGACTGGATGCTCTGTTCTGACAGGTGATGGGTCCACGCGCGTAGTGTGAGGCCAACCATGTCAAATAAGTTACGATCGGTGAAGCGGCCTCGTAGGGTCACAACCGGAGCAGGACACCGGCTAGGCGAAGCTGCAGCTCACGTGTTAATAGCTGTTGGAGTGCTGCCGACAAGTCGGAACGGTTTGCCGTATCCAGCATTTCACACACTGTCGATTACGCCAGGTTTGTGTTGTACTGTCTGAATGCAGCTCCCTTAGACTTTTGTCTCCCCGACGACGACCCCTTTGACGACGTTACATTGTATGGGGTGGCGTGCGACAGAGAGACGTACGCACGTTGTTGCGATGGACGATATAGCCTAGTTCGTCCAACGTGCACATCAACGCTAAGCTGTCATTTGTACAAGGCAGTGCTAAGAAATGCCGTGTAAGCATGCCATGGAATATGGAGGATCCCTTGGCATGCTCATGAGTTTACTTCTGTGCCGATCCAGTTGGAATTGTTGCACCGGATGCGTGCGAGCTGTCTCGCGTGCAAACATGTGGTCTGTGCGAGAGTCATTGCACAGTTGCCGTCATGACACCGCTGGGCCAAATACCTGACGGACGACCAGCTGGATGCGAAAGTAGATTTCTCGGTTCGGATGGTGCCCAGACGCTGTTCTGTGCAATAACAGTCCCAGTCTTCTGTTCCAATGGCTATCAGCTGTTGTTTCGGTCAGGTCGGCGCGATAGGCATCAGTCGAAACCTGCAACGTCTTATCACTTCTTACTCAATGGGCCGAGTGTCTTTCAGATATGGGCCCTCCGTAGGGTTGGAATGGACATAAGACCCTCATGTTGACAAGACCACGATATGTGGAACGCGCAATCGTCGCGAGGCCACGAACGGTAGGACTCATTGCAGAAGCGACACCTTCGCCAGACGTGTCTGATCCATAAGCGTTGGCAGAGTCGTCTCGTGCAGGCGGGCAAATCATGGCCATCTTGTAGGAAACGTGTATACGACGAGCTCGTGCCGCCGCGGACTCTCAATATTGACAAGCAGCGGCTCTGGGAGTCAACCAGAATTAGTACTCGCCGCTGTGCATCTCGAAGCAGATTTGAATGATTCTTACGCACGACCGCACTGACTCATTGCCCGCTCCATCCGGCTTGCTGACGTGGCCATGGACCAGAAAGGGCTGGAGAGAGACGCTTTGCCGATAAGGACGGCAGCACGATGAGCAAATATTATGGATGGGGTGGAGATGGGTGGTCAAGTGATTTGACAGGAGCGCCGCGGAGGGAACCATGCCGACGTTCCTACGAGTCTGCGAAGATGTGCTATAGGCTTACAAAAAGCCGACAACAGCACACAGCAGCTTTGCTCAACAAGGTCGCACAGCCGTACGACACGACTCGGCGCGGGACGGACACGTCATGCGACACCGTTTCACCGCAGCTCGAATGGCGAAGACAGTCCCACACTGCTGGCCTTGAGAAGGTGAAGGTGCATCAGGCCAGAGAGCTACCACCTCCTACCGTCGGTGTCCGACCTCGCAGTGCAGCGTTTGCTCGTATACAGACCGAAATAGTCGACCCTCAGAACGTATGGATTGTTGCCACTTATCACTTTGTTCCTTCACAGGTCTCGTCATCAGACGTGGAGGCTTTGGACTCATCGTCAGGTGCCGAATCTTCCGATGCATGCCAGTGAATGAGATTACTAGGTTAGTCGACAATCGACGGCTTGATTTTCAGATTTCGAGACAAATTGGTACTTGTGAGTTAAGGCGGCTGATAGCTAATGAGCTTTGTAGAGCGTCAGTGTCGCATGACTATCGCAGAGGCTCTTTGACCCTCCTCACCCGCCGCGTCAGGTCTTGCCACAGCTATACTACTGCTTTCAGTCGCTGAAAAATGTCACCATGAGCTTGCACTTTCGTCCAGTCAAGGGCAGGAAGTAACGGAAAGCTATGGCGAGTAGACCCCGTCCCGGCAGCCTTGTGCTTAGGGAGCTAACATTACCGCGTTATTCTACCGTGAGACTGCGTATTCTTGACCGGTCGACGCACTCTTGAGTTTCTAGCAGTGCGCCTCTGACGCCACAATACCTCCCGTCTCTGCGCATCACATTCGTGGAGACAGCTCGCCGCTGCGAAGCGAGCAACCGATCTCTTCGTATCGTAGACGTTTCTGTTGGTTCGCGCGGTAGCACCTGTACAGCGACACTACATGCACTCGTCGATATGACGCGCTCGTTCCACGTTGGCTTCGATAACGTCCGACGTAAACCAAGTTCCCACACTGTTGAAGTCAAAAGTATAGTCCTCTCGCGGGCGAGTCCTTCAGACAGGCGGTGCAGTTTGATTACATCCAAGTAGTATTGTGTAGGGTACTGTGGTCTACGTTCACGTCTGCAGACTTTCTTACATTCAATTGAACAGGCGTGGGACGCAGAGAGTCCTCTATGGGCCGCTCGAGAAGAAGCGCAAATCAATGCGCCATAGCTTTGACTGCCCTTTACCACAAATGATGGCCGGCCGTTCCCCTGACGATGCAACGCCCGCTCGCTGGCGAGGTGTAATCATCACCCATGAGCTCTTCGACGGGTACTGTATTACTGGCAAGCCCTCCGTACGTACATCCCACCCATAGCTTCTTGCCGTCCTTCGAGTTGTCCGTCCCGTGCGAATCGCCTCGACTTTTCTGTCCAAAATCCATTCTATGGGATGATGAGGGAGCCGTATAGCTCCTCGTGCGGTTGTGCGGTCTTCTTCAGTCTGTGGCTCCCAAACGTTTCGCGGGGCGGAAGACAAGCCTCGCGCGTCTTGCAGCATCCGATCCATGTCGTTGCAACTGGTCGCGTGTCCGCTGCTAAAGTATCACGAAAAAGCTCAAGCGTTCAGTATGGTTTGGAGGGGTTGCTGACCACAAGCCCCTCACAAAGATGCTGAATTCTACAAACAAACGTGCCGAAGAGCGGACGCCACTCCCCTCACTTGTTCTGAAGCACTCCATGGCTTCGGACTATTCAAGCACCCGCGCTTGTGCCTTTGGGACAGCCGCGACGAAATGCTGCCGAGCTCCCGACACATCACCGTGGGAAGCCTCGGGTTTGAGCTCGCTCTCGAAAATTTCTAGAACTAGTCTGTTCACGTTTGTGGCCACGGCTCGACGCGCTGGTGCTATGTGCAGCGCAAAGCGTCGGCCCGATTCGGATCCAGGCCCCTTCCCTTCAACCTAAACTGATCGGACCGACACCACTTGCTCGGAAGCGCTGTGCACCAGTCTCTTCCTCCAACAGCCGCTTCGCTCGGCTGCCTTCTTGGTTATTTTTGAGCCATACTTTTGAGCGACACATTGAATATGGAGCATCAACGTACGTGGTGCAGCGCGCGAGAGTCTGCTGTCTCAGGAACTCATCAGTACGTGCTTCCTGCCGCGCGCGCCCTGGACCACCGCGACAACATCAGTTTCCCATGGATTGTGCCCGCAATCCACTTGCGTCGGCTGTCGATCTCGGTTTGCGGGTCCGCCGTCTCGACTCGAAAGTGGTAGGACAACAGGACGGTCGATGCGCTGGCGTGAAGAGGGGGGGGGGGCGGATCCTCGAGCGCATTGTGGACTCGCTGTCATTTAAATCTGCCAGTGACGTGTTGACGAGCGATGAGCGATGAAGAAGAAGAAGAAGAAGAAGCTGAAGCAGAAGGAGCAGCAGAAGCTGAAGAAGAGACTTTGACGACGCGCGTAGGCAAGAAAAGAGACGCGAGAAAAGGAGATGCGAGGAGCTCTTGTTGATCGGACGCAATCGGAGCAGCAAAGCGCCGTGTGATACATTCAGAGCGTGGGCGTGCACTGCTTCCTGCGTGGGCCGATCAACGGGGAACAATCCGGTGACTTGTAATCGCTCACGCGGTCGAGTGCGAACACATCGACAAAGAACGCGCGAGAACCTGCGACTTTCCTCTCGCCGGTGCACCATCGCGGGCGAAAGCACCTGACGATCGATGTTCACAGAGATCTCGCGCAGTTCTCTGAGGCTCCGCCTCCGTGTCTTTCGGCCAAACACTTGCAACCTGCGAGCACCAGCCGTCCTACCAACTGCGCCTCGTCGTTGTTTGCTTGAGCTAATGAGTCGCCTTCCGAGAGTCTCGGAACGACAATGCAGCAGCCGTTGCACACACACACACACACACACACGACGACTAATCTGCCTCAGCAATCGTAGTCGCAGTCGCAGTCGCGATGATACGGAGCATGCAGACACAACAACCCACGTCGCTCTCGTCTGTCCATTTCCAAACTTGAGCGCGCGCCGACGCACCGCCTCCAGCCGCTTCCTGTGCAATGCCCATGACGCCGCCCGCGTCGAAAGCATTCGCACCCGTCTCGCTCTCGCCATCGCAAGCGACAAAGCTCGAGACAATGATGACGCAGCAGGTGCAGGACGCGCTCCTCGCCCGCACGATGCAGCTCTCGAGCGACAACAAACTCGACGCCGAGTGGCGCCACGTCGGGTCGCTCGGCCACCTCAAAGCGTTCAAAATCCGCGGCGTCGACTCGTTCAGCTCCACGTCGTCGTGGGCCACGACGCTCAAGCGCAGCAGTCGCGCCACTGCCTGTGCGGTCGATGACCACTGCACCAGTTCGTCCACGTGCCCCCTCCCGTCGACCCTCCGGTCGCCCCGAAGTCGCTTCAACTCGTCCGTGTGCGCCCACCGGTCAGTGGGCGCCACCATTGGCCGCCACGACCCCCTCGACCCGTGTCCCCCGCTCCAGTCCTCACGCATCTTTGGCCGCGTCCAGGGCAACTACCGCGACATTGTCGACGTCCACTTTGCGACGAACTCGGTGGACTTTGTCCAGCGACAGAAACTCCTCTCGCCCGGCGTCATCGACGGCGCTGTGCTGCTCACTATTCGGTCCACGGGCAGTGGCTACTTGGGCATCAAGTGGCTCGCAGAGCACACGTTCGCTGGTAAGCGCGACGTGTGCTTTGTCGAGATGACGGGGTACACGACCGACGCCAATGGACAGGAAGTGGGTTTCGTCGCACTGGCGTCGGTCGACGTGCCCGAGTGCCCCGAGCTCACGGGCTCAATGAAACTCACGCGCGTGCGCATGAAGCGCACGATGCTCGTGGTCCCGGCCGAAGACGAACCCGCGACGACCTCAGAGGTGTTTGTCATGGCCGCCACGGAAGCGAACGAGTCGGCGCTCGTCGCCCTCGCGCAGTACCGCCTGAAGATGGCCGTGCTCAACGACATTTCGCTCGTCATTGACTCGCAGAACATTGCCAAGCAAAAGCTGGCGCCGCCCAAGCAGTGGGTCCCCGACGCGTGTCGGCCGTCCTGCAGCATCTGCAACCGCAAGTTCCACTTTGTCAATCGGAGACGGCACCACTGCCGACTCTGTGGCGACGTCGTGTGCAAAACGTGTTACGTCGTGCGGTCGGTGCCCGGCGGAGTGGATCCGGACGAAGGACAGAGCGGCGAACCGGACATTTGCCGCACAAAGTTCTGCGTGCGCTGCGTCGTGGGTCTCCGCGTAATGGACAAACAGCTCGGGGGGTTCTCGCGGCGCATCTCGAGGACGTTCACCGCCGACACTGCGAACCTGTCGGACAGCAGTTTCGCAGGCCACTCGTCGGCGTCGGGCACAAGCGACTCGCCGGTCACGTACTTTAAACGCGGTACGAACGCGAAACATATCTTGGATCTCGGTCAGCTCTTCCGGATCTCCAGTTCGCTGAACATCGATCCCGAATTGGACACCAGTGATGGATTCGACGACATTAATGCGTGGGCCCGATCTCTGGTGTTGCAAGAGTCTCGCAGCGACTATGAGATATTCGTCTGAGTCGTGCGGCTGGTTGGTTCCCGGGGTAGCGCATGCCGACTAGTGCAGTGCGGTGTGTGGGGTATAGCGGTCAAAGTGCGACTGCAGCCGAAAGCAGGCTCGTGCACTTTGACCACTAGTGGTGTCTGTAGTTTTGATGTCTCTGCGGATGAAGCAGAGAGCGTGTCGTGTCAAGTATGACTTGACAATATGGAGTTAGTTGGTGGTTTGCAGCCACCTTAGTGTAGACAAACGGTAGTCTCCGATATGAAGTCTTGAGTACAAATCCTATTTATGGGAGTTAGCATCCACACGAAGCTCTTCTTGTCCAAGTGCTGGATACAAAATGCGCTGGTTCGTTAGTTGGCAGAGCTACATCAAGAGGCAGGAGATGTAGGACTCATTGGCCCCGTTGGGCAGCAGCTTTATATGCGATCCCTGCTGTAAAACTAAAACTGTAGTGTAGGACTGAAGGAGAGCAGCGACAGCCACTTCAGCTAGCGGCAAAGTCATGGACCGTTAGACGTGACTCTTGCTCAAGTGAGTTGGTGAGCACACTAGGCAGCAAAAAGTTGGCTTGGCATCGGATGAGACCTACAGGGCGTTCAACTTCGCGTGCTGCTCATGTCAAAGGCAAAAAGCGGAAGCTACAATCATCTCGTTCGGCTTACATGAAGCCTATGCAAGCGCTCGATGGGTTATGCATCAGAGTTACTGCTTCGTGTTTAGGTCGAGATGCAAGTTATCTGGCTGTCCATCTAAAAACTGAAAAAACTGCGTAAGAGAGCAGGTCACAGCAAAATCCGAGTGAAAATCAACAGTCCGAGAACGTGGCGCGACTCGCATTACGAAGATCTTTATCCTCACTTGTCGGATGAGACCCCGTCCGCTCCAGAACCACGTGGCAGTCGTGTGCATGACGTTACCTTCATCTACATCTTCTCTCCGTTCTTCGGCGGTGGTAGCGGAAGAATGATTCGAAACCGATCTACAGGTTTGATGTACAAATGAAAAAAAAACGGCATGATCTGAAGGCCGCATTCGGTGAAGTGCAGCTGCCAAATGCTAAGGAAACAAAAGTGACGGTCGACAAGATTCCGTTGGCCGCTGTTGCTGCATCATAGCCGGTAAACTGTAAAGTGAATGGACACTGAGGCGGCAAAAGGCTTGTCATGATTCCAGATCTTGCTCGGTAGGAAAAAGGTACTATGAGTATACAAGCTCCACTTTGTGATCCAAAGCTTGCTGCTGCACGTAGCCAGTGATGCTCAGCCGCAGCAACAGCTCGTGACACTCCGTAGCGTACATTATACGAGGAAATGGAAATCAGCTTATGCAAATGCTCATAAACGTGTGTCTAGCTACTTTGTACCTGCAGCTTCACAAGCTTGCCTATGTCCCAGCACACAACCGACCCTCGTGGTTTGTTGCAGCTACCGGACATCAATCCATGGTAATTGCTTTGGACTTGTCCCCATTGATGTCTACAACATCCGATCCAACATTACACACTTCGTCTCAACTCGTGCGGAGGTTACTCACTCAGCGATGCGAAATCAACAGACAGTACGCGAATCTACAACACACGATCGTTTACAATGTGTCGACGCTTATGACCAGCGCGCACCACGATCCATTCTTCGATACTCGACAGGAAATGAACAGCATCCTCATTCTTTTGTCACTCATTTGATGCGTACAGGTATCTACGACGTGTGACCGCATGTGAAGCATAGCTCCTCGCATTCAATATCGTGCTTCTTCATTTGCATTTGACAAGACCACAAGAACATATGTGTTGTTCTTGCAAGGGAGACTTTCCCAAACGATATGCGTCGTGGAAAGACGACAAGAGACACGCGATCTCGTTGTACCCGAAATGTACGTGCGCAGATACACTGGAGCCGCAACACACCGTCAGGATGGACGCAGAATAGAGATAGCATCGCAGTCAGCAGGAACGGAGACGGCCAGCGCTGCACCAACTCAAGTTTTCGACGAATTGGTGGACGGTAGCATACAGTCATCTCGAACACTCGATTAACGCAGAAATGTTGTGCGCTCAAAGCAACGAAAAAGTGACAAGTGTGTTCTCACTATCAAAGATACTGTGACAGCGAGACGACGACAGACAGCGGTGTACCATTGTGAACATCCGTGTAAACAAGTTCTGATCACCTTGCAATTTCCTTTGTTGCAAAGCATCTCCAAGCTGTGACAGCTTCACGCCGTGCTTGTCAGCAAAGACCTCCCGCAGTGCTTGCAACGAAAGCGACACCACGCATCGAACATACTCTGATGTTTCCAGTAAGACCATGGCGCTCTCATTGCATCTGGAGTGGGATGGCGTAGATGCGTCAAGCAAGCATCAACTGTGCTCTAGTCTCGTAACATAATCCATTTTGCCATCAAGAGTTTGGATCCATCCATCAAGACTATCGAACAACCTCTCGACCCTACACCATGAACTTGTGGCGAATGTGAACCGCCCAGCCTCACAAGATTCGTAATGACACACATGCTGCTAACGCGTGCCACGTCATATATGATGCTGTCTGGGACTTACTTTCGGATTCAGTGCGTTCTTAATGTCGTCAAATTCTCCATCACTGGCTACGTCGTACGGCAAGCGCTTGCGTTTGTCGGTTATCGTGAGACTCGCACCATTGACCACGAGATAGTTGCAACAAGTTGCAGCACCAGCAGCAGCGCTCACGTGTAGAGCCGTTTCATTCTGTTTGCCAGCGCGTACATTCACATCCACTCCATGCGCTAAGCACCACATCAGCGCTTTCACATTACCACACGCAGCTCCTGCAATGAACCGCTTCACCAATTCTTGATTCACAGTGCTACTTTCGCTCCCCAGTGCATCCGATGTCTTGTCCGGCTCGACAAATCTACGGAGATGATACTTAGCCTTGATGAACCGAGCCTTTTCGTCCCACGATGTCGTAGGTGTCGGCTTGGTCCATCCATCCGGAACAGAGTGTTCCCATACTGCATTTACTGCGTCGTTACCGAGCTCGTCTCGAATCAGCGTGAGAAGTGCCATATCCCATGAGTCTAAGGTCAATGACCGCACCTTCGATTCGTGCACACCAAGACTGCGGTGAATGCCTGAGCACTCGATACATAAGAGACATCCAATGTTGATCGATACCCACTCAGCCGGCTCTTGTCCACAGTCCGCACAGCACGGGCTTGCTTCCGTCAATCTGTTAATGACCGACTGTTGCTCAGGATGCACCTCCCGGCGATGGCTTTGCTTTTCGAGCGCGTTCTCAGTGCTACGACGTGCAGCATCGATCCACTCGACCATATCACGAGCACTTGTTGCCTGCAGTAAAAGCTTTGCGCGATTTGCGTCAATGACCTCAAAACAAAATGGCAGACTCGAACCCTCTAGTTCACGGACGCGGGCGAGCAGTAAGTCGCACACGAGGGTCAGACTACTTTCCGTGGGATGCTTGCCACCGCCACCGCGAGACGTCGTCTGGAACAGCTTGCCAGCATGAATCTGAAACCATCGTCGTTTCCAACTTCTAGCTGGAAACATCGAGTTGCGAACAAACAAGTAGCCTTGCTTTGCTGCACCATCAGCGGAAGTGGCGAGAGTCTCTCTGCTTCTGGAGGTGTCAATTGAAACAACCTCGACGGGCAAGTCAAGCGGCGGAAACGATTCGATCGGAACGGGCAATTCGTCACTCGACGCTCCCGTCGATTCCGATACATGTTCAATCGACTTAAGGTTAGAGCTTACAATGTCAACATGTTGCGACAAGCGGCGGTCGAGCAGTTCTCGCTGTGATGCCCACATCAGCTCGTCACGCTCGAAATCTTTGCGTGAAGTTTGCATCATTTCTTGACGCTTTCGCAGCGTTGACTCCACAGACTTAACAAGCTCGTGACATGCATGAAAGTGTCCTAGCTGCGCGTACAAAATGGAGTTGAAACACTCCACCAACAAAAGCTTCTTCATGCAGTCGACCTGGTTTAAGCAGCGAACCAAGTCAAAGCGGGCCAATTCGAACTTCCGCCTTGCTGCCACCACGTCTCGCTCGAGCGCTCGCTGATGTTTTTCGCTAGTTGCCGTTCCTGCATCCAGGTGCACAACATTGTTGCTATTGTCAACCACAGCGATTGAGGCTGCTGGTGTCCCTGAGGCAATGACATCAACCGACGTTCCATAGTGGCTTCCTGTCGGCAATACGGGACTGCCGAGTCCCAGTAGTCCGATCGAATCCCCCAAGCCAGTAGGAGTCCCTGTGCCGTCCAATGCTTGTCCTGGCTGCCTGGGCTTGCTCAACAACTTGCCAAGCAGCGTTTCGTACTCTTCGCCCAGCCTCGTCACTTCTTTCCGCAGCTCGCTGGCCTCTTTCAACGCGTCTTGGCTCAGGAACTGCTGGACCAGCCTGCTCAGCAACGACTCGACACCGAGCAACATGCTCACCCGAGAGCTCTGCACCTGCGCCAGTGTGTCGTGCATCTCGCCAAACAAGTCGGCCAAAGTTCCCAATTCCGAGCAACTTGTGGAAAAAATCGCCCGCGCGTGTTTGCGCTGGATCAGCTCTTCTGCCAGCGCTGTCTCTTTTGCGCCAAACTGCTTTCCAGCAGCTGCGTACTCTTTCGAGAGCGTCACGAGCTCCTTAAGTAACACACGGAGACCTGCAATCGACTCTTCGATCCCTTCCACTTGACACCGAAACATGGGCGAGTCTTCGACAAAGTCCAGCACCACATTTGGACTGGCGCAGCTTCTCGGTACCTGTTCCCTGCTCTCGTCTGCAGCTGTGTGTGAAGGAGCCTGCTTGGGCGCTGGTGAAGTAGCAGCGGTGCATTTGGGTTGCACGTGACGTCCATCGTGCGGTCTCGTTGGTTCGCTTGTTGCTGCTACTTCAGCCCTGGCACACCTAACGTCGCCGTTGGGGGTCGCAGTACCGGTATCCGAGTGCTCCCATCGGTCCAAAACGTCCGCCGGCAGCGCGCCAAAGCGTGCCGCATAGGCATCTAGCTGCGTCTGCATACTCAGAATCATCAGATCTTTCTTCACGATCACCTGCTGCAGCTCTGCAACTGCGTCGTGTGCGCCTTTGCCAGCGCCGTCGGCGCCCCGCCAGGCGTTGAACGCCTTCATGATGCGTGTCCCTCGCTGGACCCTGCGTGATTGGGCACAAACAGGAGCGATTTTCAGCCAATCGGACAAAAGGAGGCGAAACAAACCAGAACAAAAATCAGCGGATCAAAGTGACTGTTTAAAACAAGTATCGTGGAGCGACTGTTTAAAACAAGTATCGTGGAGCGACGGAGCCGACTCGCTTGCAGCCGTGTAGCCACTTTTTTGGCTCGATGCGCTCTTTACGGCTTGGCACCAGCAAAGACGTCCGCAAATTTGTCTTCTGGCATCTCGCGCGCAGGCAGTCGGTCGTTGCGCTCAACACCAGCAATCTTGCGAGACACGTAGCGGTCGCGCTTGTCGGCCTTGGCGTCACGGCGGTTCTCGTTCGGAGACACGTAGTGCTCGTTCTGGAACAGCGTCTGGCCACCAAAGCTACCGTCGAAAATACGGATCGGAGTCAGGACAAAGCGTGGACCGATCTCAATGAGCTGCACGAGGTCCTCGCCGCGGTGTAAAGCAGCCAGCTCGGCCTTCTTGGTGTCAGCGTCATCTGCTAGCTGGTAGTTGCGGCACCAGACTTTACCGTCGGCATGGTAGAAGCTCATGACTCGATCAATGAACGGTTTGCTCTTCGGGTGTGCTTTTGGCGTACCCCACACTTGTGTAAACAGCTTCTTGATCACCTGAAGATGCGGCATCTCGTCAAACATCTTGTCAAACGTCAGCAACGGTCGAGAGCCAGCCAATGCATTGCCCGTCATCTTGAGCTCGTCCATCGTGTGCACTATACAACACATCAGTCACACCAAACAGCCACCCACCCATACACACCCACACATGTTACACTTCCACGTCCAGTAAGCTGTATAACGAGCACAAACAGTCGTCCACGAACCGTTTTGTACGAGGAACTTGACGCTCGGTCCAGTCCCGACGCGACTGACCCACATGTAGAGATCCTGGCGCTTGCGGGCCTCCATGAAGATGGTCGTGTTGCAGCCCTTGATCTCGGCAATCTCGTTCACCACGTGCAGAGTGTCCTTGGCGTCCAACTTGACCTCGCGCTTGTGGTGCGGCAGCAGTTTGCGGAAATCGTCCATCAAGTGGCGGTACCGCGTCGTGATGCCGCGCGACGAGAACACGAGCACGCGCTGCTTGTTGATGTACTTGCTGCCGCCGGCGGTCGCAAGCTTCTGCTTCTTGGCCTCTTCTGCCGCGTCCGCCTGTGCGCCGGTCTCCTTCTCGCGCCTCCGCTTCATCATGGCCATGGCTGTGGTCGTCGCTGGAACGGATAGAAAAACTACTGGCTGGCGGAGTCGACAATTAAAAGGGACGGACTATTCACGAATGGTCCCACTTTTAGTCCTTGTTTGTGCTGCTGCGCGGGTGATGGACTCGTAAGTACGATACGATTAAGTGCGGCAATCTTTTGCGTAGGGGTATTTGTACAGTTAGAAATACAAGCTGCTCTAATTTGATTTTGCGCCTTAGGGCGATCAATGCTAGCCAATCTAATTCGAAATTGCGCCTTAAGCCGATAAATGCTAGCTGCATCAATTTGATATTGTGCCTCAGGGCGACAGTTGCTCGGATCCTCTATTCCTCGATGTCCGTATATGGTGAGCAAAACGCTTTTGTTTTCGCACGAGTACAGCACAAGTGTCATGTTGTCATTTTACCCTATTCTAGTTGGCATTACTTCGTTTTGCCACTCGGGTTTCGCCGTCCTGTCCGTGACGATTACCGCTCTTTTGCCGCTCGAGAATAGCGAACATTTGCGCTGATGTTACAAAGTGGCGAAATGCGTCTCGGTAACAAAGAGGATCAAGTACTCAAGAAATGGTAGTCGAAACTATTCAGCGTTGAGGACCGTCTCCTTGGTACGTCGATCGAGCAGCATAGTGTAGCAACACACGTTGGGCGAATGCACGCACATGTGCCCAATACTTCGATCACTTGCTTCTGCAGCTGCTGAGTTCCCATCACGCAAAATGCTCGATACCAATATTGACCTTTTGTCGGTGATCGCCTGCAAGCTTTGACCTCCTTCTTCGCTTGCGGGCGACGTGAGCATGACACACATCTCCTGCGAGTCATACCTTCCGCACGCACCGATCGATCCTGTCCATCTCTTTTTCGTCATGGCTCCGCGCTTTCGATACATCAATGCGTCAAGAATCATGTGCTTTGTGCTACCCCACCTGTGTTATTCTTGACGTGTCGACGGACAGTCTGCATAGTACGAGCGCTGGTACTGACACAGCACAAGCTATCTACATTGACCACAGTGTAAGTAGGTGCCTAGAAACGTCACGTACGCGTACGTGCAGAGGAAGGTTTATCTACTAAGCAAAGGCTTTCAGCAAAAGGAAAAAAGAAGAACTGTACTGATCGATAGATAAAGTCTCCTTACTATAACATCGTTGGTCTTGCTTAGGCTGCAGTAGGCTACAAAAAAGTAACATTACTACTTGCTCACCACCCGCTGCGCGCGTCTAGCAGCGAATGGTGACTTAGTCGGTTGACATAACGGCCTGTAGCAACCAACGAGTGGAGCAGTGGCGAGTATTTAGCTCCGAGGGTACTATTCCTGCAATACTTACGAAGCTGGGCACTTCTTGGAGAATGTTACCAATGACATCCACTTTGACCCAACTTGGTGTCGATGACGTGTAACGGGCTCACCTTGTCACATAAGCAGTATGTTGAAGCACCGGAAGCGTAGTGTAGCAGAAATGTCACCGTTCGTCTTGCAACAAGAACGCGTACCTGCACGAGCTTTGATCACTTATAGGCGTGCAACTTTCGAAAGCCACGAACTCTATCCGACAGTGGTCAGCTTCGTAGCTTCAAAAGATTCTTGCAGTGAAAACAAGAGGCGTAAGAAATGACTCACGTCTTTGTAAGGGCAAGTAATGGAACTATCAAACAGCTACGTCACGTCTTGGCTCTGGGGTGCAGCAGCAGCACTGCAATGCCAGCAAAAAAGCGAGCACATGTGCGGCATCGATCAACTTTAGCTGTACACAAAACCCACACGTGCTGCCCACTGGCTCGAACAACTGCGACAAATAGGCTCTGATCAACCCGACGACAGCACATGTCTAGCAGGCTACTGTTCGAGCCAGACTCGTCTACCGCAAAGCGCAGAGCATCTATCTGTCTTGCAGAAGACGTGGTGTGGCTGTAGGGACGACCGATGCCCCCGGCGCCTTCTGTCGGAAAAATGCTTGCAACTTGTCGTGCTGGTCGACGCCGGCCACAAACTCCCGCATCATGACCTTGTTGCTCGTCCGGTTTCTGTCGACAATGCCCAGATAGGGCACGCCGTCAAACACGAGAACTTCGCTGCTGAACTCGGGGCCGACAAAGTCATTGTCTTCCTCAAACCACTGGTGCGGCGTGCTCGCAACGACAATGCGCAGCATCACGGCCGTGTCGGGCGCCGTATAGTTGAAAAAGTGCATCACCGGCACTTCTGCTTTGTCGCAGAACGGACACCACAGTCGGCTGTTGAAAGCGTGGACGCCCGAGACGAAAAACAAAAACAGCGGGTAGCTGTAGTCGTAGAGAGCAAGGTAGTCCCTCACTTGCTTCGCGGTGGTGCAGTGCACCACGCGGTTGCGGTGCGGCGCGCCTGCCACGGGTTTGCTCACTCGAAACACCACGTCCAGCAAGTCTGGATTCAGGCAATTAGGGCCTGCAAGCAACGCCGACGAATTGCCGCCTCCGTCATACCGCATCAAAGTCGGCAAGTAGTCAATGTAGAACAGCTGGTTCTGCCGAAATGGGTTCATCAGGTTGTTCCAGTAGCTCTCCGAGCCAACTCGAATTTCAGCCAATCGCGAGCGACGAGGGGCCCGCTCGAAGCCCTTGTACACGGCGTCTTTGACCATTTGACACGGGCGGAACCAGTACGAGCCATTGGCACTCGTGTCGCTCACGAACAGCAGGAACAGCGGCCCTTGCGTCTCGACGTCGTACTCGCGCACGAGTCGGTGCGCCTCTTCGAACCCGCGCACCACATAGTACGTATGGGCGTGCGAACGGTCGCGTTGGACGGTCAGGACCCCATCTGCCGCCTGTGCCGCCAAAGTGTGGGCGTTCGTCGACTCACGAGCAGTCGGTGATGGGGTCCGGACCGCCTCCATCGTGAACTGCCATATGTACGACAGGGAGAGGAACACAGCAGTCGCGAGCGCCAGTTGCATGAAGCGCACGGGCTGCAGTGACCACGAGGCCGACGCCTCATGTCTCGCGGTCGGTGCCTCGTGTCTCGCTGACGTGGCCGTTGCCGTCGTCTTCATGGGGCGTTACGACGGATTTGGTGGGGCTACTGCGGTGTTTAGCCACGTTTTGCTCGGCTTGTGGGACTGATAAGAAGCAGGATAGGATAGAAATCGAAAAAGCGGGTGGAGGTGAAGTAACAGCAAACGAAAAGGAGCGACGCTGGACTCGACGTCTCGGTGAATCAGCAAATCGTGCGCACTTTGCACCGTGTCTGTGGTAGGTGCACGATAGAAAAACCGTGGCATTTCTAAGGGATGTAGTGAGTGCACACGATAGCGAGATCGAGTATGGGGCTTGACGGACGCTGTTTCTATTCGTTGAAGCGACGCAGCTGTGCTTGTGATTGGCTGAAACCCGACGATCGGTCGCCGCAGCCAAAGCGTCTGCAATATGCCGCGGAAGAACGCGCTGTCCGCGCTGCTCGACGAGCACCAGCGGCAGGAGAGAGTTTCCGCCAGTGCCGGCGACGCTGTACAATCTATTCCTGCGTCTCCTCGTGCGAATGCACTCTTTGTGAGCTCTGTGGACGCAGCAGAAGTTGCACTGTCGCCGGCTGTAGGAATGTTTCCCGCGCGACCAACGGCGGGCCGTCCTCAAGACCGTCACGAGCGAGATGCGGCACTACGGATGGAACGAGTGTACGAGGAGGTGTCAAGACGGAAAGGACAAGTTGTTGAAGGCCGTGAAGCGTCCAGTGGGGCTGTAGATACGGACGGCAGTTGTCCGCCGCCGGCTACGGCTGCTGCTGCTGCTACTTCAGAAGCGATGGCTACTGCTGCTGCTACTTCCCGCAATAGCTTGGGCATTTTCTGCACTTTTCATGGTCAGGAGGGACAAGTGTTACGAAACTTGATGCAGCAAAAGGAAGACGGGGCGCGTCGCTTATCAATGTCGAGACCGAAAAACAGGAAAAGACCTCGAAGAGGCATGAAAAGAGTCGGGTTTGTCGCGCCAATGCAGCCTGCTGCGACAGAACCATCGTCTTGTCAGACAGCAGGTGAGTGGCATGTCGAGATGTCCAGTGCTGGTGCTTATCGTCAGCACAATGAGGAGGAGGAATGGAACGAAAGACGGAGAGAACGACAGCAAGAGCGACGAAGACGTCGATGTGCGAAATCGAGTCGAAAGAAGCCTGGCAATAGTAATGGGAGAGAAGCAACGTTGTTGGATGTGGACGACGCTACCGTGCAGTATATTGATGCGGTGCTGGTAAAGCCGGATCCACAGGTTTTCAACAAGTACACGCGGTTTTTTCTGGACCCGAAGCTGGAGACTTTGTATCAAGACTTTACCGCAATTTACTGGCTTGGACGGGCTCGCTGGCACGTGGCCGTATGGATGACTGTGCATTTGTTCGTTAATCTCTCGTTTTACGCGGTACCAAAGTCAGGATTTACCGGCATGGAGCAGTTTATTCTCTCGTACGATTCTCTGCCAGCGTACTTCCAGTGGATATACGTACCGATCGCACTGCCGTTTGCCGCGCTGCCCAACAAGTGCAATCCGTTTCAGACACGATGGCGCAGCTGGGTATGTCTTATCATCATCTTTTTCAACCTGACGTTTCAGATATGGCTGGCAGATGCTGGCCGCCTTGCCAGCAAATCATTTGCGTCAGCCGTTCGAGACCAATTATCGTGTAAAGCTTCAAACCCGGCACTCGCGTCGATGTTTGTGGGTATGAACGGAAGCTCAAGCGGCAGTGATGACGTTTTGACCAGCGATACGATTAGCAGCGCTCTGGTGTACCTGAAGGACGAGCAGAGAGATTTGGCTATCCGCGTAACCAATCTGTGCTCGGACGCACTGGTACAAACGCTTGTTGGATTTGTGTCGCTGTTCAGCTTCTTATTCGTGATATCTATTCGGCTCGAGTTCGTTCAAGTCGTAGTTGTGGCGGTCTTCGGAGCCGCCACCTATGCTAGCGTAGTGAGCGCTTTCGGTCTGCAGTTGCAGTGGGTCATTACTTTTGCGTACGGTACGGCGGTCGTCCTCTTGCTTATTCTGTCCTACTCGCTGGACCGCACCAATCGTCGTTCTTTCCTTTCCAACTTCTTGGTTGAGAAAGAGAATGAAAACCTCAAATCGTCTCTGAAACAAGCGGAAGCAGCATTGCAGAATGATGCTGCCCACGCAGACGAGGAACGTGAAGTGGCCCGGATACTCGCAGCACCAGAGATGTGCCATTTCGAAATGCTCCACATCCCCTTTGCTGATCTCACTTTTCTCCAGGCCATCGGTCGGGGCTCGATGGGTGACGTCATCAAGGCCAAGTATTTTGGCACCATTGTCGTCTGTAAGCGTATGCGTCGGGAATACATCGTTGAGTCCGGCAGAGGCCGGGATCGGAACGGAAGCCGGGATATGTCGCACGCCGTTAGCGCGTTGGCGAGTTTCCGCGATGAGATTGAGCTCATGTCGTGCTTGCGGCATCCGAACGTTGTTCAGTTCATTGGCGCAAGTTGGGACAACGCGTCTAATCTGTGTATTGTGATGGAGTATATGGAGAATGGCGATATGCATCGTGTACTACACTCGGGACTGGGGAAGAACTTTACGTGGGTAGACCCTCTGCTCAAGATGGCGGTTGACGCTGTGCAGGGCATGCTTTATCTTCACTCGCAAGAACGTCCTGTGGTCCATCGTGACCTAAAAAGTGTCAACATCCTATGCTCTGCTACATTTGGCTGTAAAGTAGGCGATTTCGGCCTCAGTCGTCGATACAAGAAGGGCGTCGACGCACTCACTACTCTCGTCGGCACCCCATTTTGGCTTGCTCCTGAGATCATCCGCAGCGAGCGATATGGTCCCGCGGCTGACGTCTATTCTTTCGGCATCGTACTCACAGAGCTTGAGACGCGACACACTCCGTACCACGATCAAGAAGAGACAGGATTGAAGGTGCTGATGAAGGTGGCACACAAAGGACTGCGGCCATCATTGCCCCCAAGTTGTCTGCCTGAGCGTCGCAGGCTCATTGAAGACTGTCTCCGAGATGTTCCTGCGCGTCGCCCAACGTTTGCGCAGGTCCTGTCACGCTTGCAAGGCCCCGTGCTACTTGAGATCGAGGGCCACGTTGCAACTCAGCCGGATCTGGAACGACGGGTGCGATTGCGGCGCCATCAAGAGCGTCGAAGCTTGTGAATGGACTCAGCTATAGGAAGTGGAACATGGTCATGAAGCAGATTGAGCTGTTGGACGGCTTCAATTTCACGTCGCTTTTCCCGTACAAGGTAGAATGATTGACTCAATAGATTGATCGGAGTTCTTGACGGCCATTGTCTGTGCTGCCAGTCCTCTCGTTGCAACTTGAGGCCGTCTACTACGACCATTTTGGTAACGAGTTCGTGGGAATGTAGCATCACAACCCAATCGTGTGTGCCCTCTGTTTGTGTAACATTATCTTCGCAAAATGGAATTTGCAGGGCAGCTGACGATTCGACGCGGGTCCGGATTCAGAAACGTGCTCGTCTATCTCGCATCGACGTCCGCTTCATCTTCGAAGACTGATCGAGCACCTTTTTCGCACAATGACCAGCAAACACAAAGTCCACAAGTCCGAGCACGTTACAGAATCCTTTAGTCACCATCTCATTGTCCGCTAGAGTGTTCTAGCAGTTGCCTCACGTATCCCACGGGTGACACCTGTTGCCCTCATAATGACTGAGGTAACATTTGAAGACATCAATTATTAATGTTCTAAAGCACAACAATGTGCCCCCGACGAGTCACATCGTGTGTGTTTTATTCGAGTCCACCCCAACCCAAATGTCTTAACGCATTAATGGACAGGTCCATGCAGCGCATAGTGAATGCTGCACAGAGCACATTTGCAAAACTTTGCGTAGCAGCCATTGAGTCCTTTATGGCTCGAGCAGCAGACATTCAGTAGTCTGCTGCAGACAAAATCAACCTACAGCGTCTATCGATGCAAGCCCACATGGTGACGCATTATGTGGAGAGGATGGCTTCGAGGCGGAGCTCATCTCTTCAGGCGAGTCGGATGGTACCCAACTACTAAGCAACTGCAAAGACGGCTTCTGCCAAGACCTACCGTACCAATATGTCTGATACGGAGCGCTATGAGATATTCGGTCTATCGGACGAGTCGGATGGCTTGCCCGCTGACCAAAGGCATTCGCACTTGCGAGCGCGCGAAGACAAAGAGATGGACACGATGGGTCAGCTCACTGTGGAAGCTTTAGTGACATTGACATGGGTCACCGTGATCTTAGCGATCAATCGATGGCGACGAACGTGATGGCATTACTTCTCGTTACACCACGCAAGCGCAATGAGACCGCAAAGTATCGCGTTTCATTCCACTAAACCAGTCGTGGATGCCGTTATGGCGACTCATTGTTCGCTTGACGGGATGGACAAGCAACAGCTATATAGTCATACTGTTCGATGCGTCAAAGCTTTACGGCCGTCGATCGGAAAGTTCAATTTTTACTTTTGGTAAATGCACACACACACACAGCGACCCGCACTTTATTTGCGTGACGCAAGCACGTTCAATCAATGACACCTTACCGTCACGCATCAATATGATCACGCACGGCAATCGTTCAATCTTCAAGTCATCGTGGTACCAGCACATTGTTACGTCATCAGGAAATGAACGACTATGGTAGAGGTTCACGGTGAGTTCCGGCGCTGCTGTATCGCTTGCACTCTTGCCATTGATTTGCCCACTCTCATGATGTTGGCGCTCGAATTTGTTCGTTATGGGTCGTCGAGATTTTATTTGTCGTGGACATGTGAGCAGCTAATACTATGAGCATACCGAATGCCTCGGCACATGGACGAGGCTTCACGCATATAGCACTAAAAGGGAGCTCAACGTGGAACATCGTAATCTTGTTGTGCAGCTATATCCGCAAGACTCTAACGTTCCCAGAATACATCCAAGAGCTCTTCAAGAAAACCAGAACGTCGAGCGTAGTGTCAGCGTATCCATGCTGACCACCAAATGTAGTCGTGCATTGCGAGATATTCAACGAGCTGCAACTCACACATATTTGATTGGCCATGCTCCGTGATCTCGTGATCAGGGAAGATGTGGGTACGTCTAAATGAGTGTTGCAAAACGCTTCACGTAGCCATTATCGAATCTCGGGAGATCTATTTCAAACACGGTATAATTCACGACAGATTGGTATGATTCGCGACGAGAATGCTTCGCTTATAGCAACGTATCCAGCTGCTGTAATCGTTGTCGTTAGGCGACATGGGCGACTGCCTCGTAGTGGCAACACCGTATCTAGGACTGAAGATATACGTTTTGGCTACTGCTATTGTATGCACCAAATGGGCAGACAAAGCAGCGAACGATGGAACGAACACGTAGAGAGAACAGATACAATTGACTACTGCAGGGATATCCTCCATTGTGCGACCGATACGACCGCAATGTGAGAACCTGCTATTGAGCTGACAAATATTGGGTATGCAAATAGCTCCATGCTCTGCACTATCTCCGTAGAGTCGTAAGTATTCAAACGCTGGGTAAACTGCCCAGGCTCAGGGCTTATCGGCTCTCGAAGGATGACATAAACGCATATCAACCGGGCCAACGATTCAAGCATCGCGGAAACTGCCACATCATCGGTTCAAGACCCCTGAACAAATATCGATCAGCAAGCGAGTGCAATTCTGCAATCTTTAGCGGACCGAAATCCAAGTAGGTGTGGGGTCTAGAAAAAGCAATTGCTGTTGATGATGCTGTGTATTTTTCTACTGTTGGTGAAGTACGCACATGTATTTGAGCCAAGACAGTGTAGTCGCAATGATAATGCGTTCTTGCCGTGCAGATTCTAACGGCGCTCGTGCAGACAAAGCGACACATTACGCCGGAATTCCCCAACTTTGGATATGGCGGCCTGATATTGCACGTGTATCGAGCTGCAAGTTATCACGTGATGGCTTTGCCTCCCATTTTCTCTACTCGTCAGACTTCCTCGCAGGTACAAGTGCATGACTGTTCATACAAAGGAAAGCGTAAGTACCAAGCAAGTCAGAACTCTGATCAAGCCCAAATTCGACCAGACCCTATGCTCAAGCACACATCTGCAGCTCTCGTGGTCCTAAATCGACCGACCGACCGACGAAAAGACCCATTTCCGACTCGGACCGTCTCTCATTGGTCGATCCGTGTACCCAAAAACCGTTGGCCTCGGCCGCCACAGCGCCTGGAGCTGCTCACTTGGGCATTCGCGCTGTCCTCCTGCCGTCGCTCTCCTCACCCGCCCACTCGCACGTGCCCTTCCACTCACGCACACGCCCACGCACACAGACTGTCTCCCTCCATGTCGTCGTCGTCGTCCACCGCCGCTGCTGCTGTCCTCGACGCTGAGCTCCTCGACGGTCACACCGCCGCCTCGATCTTTGTCGACAAGAACCAGGGCCAGGCCTACACGTACGACGACCTGATCCTCATGCCCGGCCACATTGACTTTGGCGTCGACGCGGTGCAGCTCGAGACCAAAGTGTCGCGCCGCCTGTCGCTGCACCTGCCGCTCGTGTCGTCGCCCATGGACACTGTCACGGAGCACGCGATGGCCATTGGCATGGCGCTGCACGGCGGCATTGGCATCATCCACTACAACATGACAGTCGACGAGCAAGTGAAGGAGGTGCGCCTGGTCAAGAAGTTCAAGAACGGCTTTATCAGTGACCCCAAGTGCCTCTCGCCCGAAGACACGCTCGCGGACGTGGACCGCATCAAGGCCGAGTTTGGCTTTGCCGGCATTCCCATTACCGAGAAGGGGACCGTTGGCAGTGTCCTCGTTGGCATTGTGAGCAATCGCGACATTGACTTTGTCGAAGACCGGCAGACAAAACTCCGGGAAGTCATGTCGAGGGACCTCGTGACAGCGCCCGAAGGTGTGTCGCTCAAGGAAGCGAACCGCATCTTGCGCGAGAGCAAGAAGGGCAAACTGCCCATTGTCAATGCCAACGGGGAGTTCGTCTCGCTCATTTCGCGCCGCGATCTCGTGAAGAACCGCGACTTTCCACACGCGTCCAAGGATGCGAACAAGCAGTTGCTGGTGGGCGCTGCTATTGGCACGCGTCCCAACGACCGCGAGCGCTGTACGGCGCTGGTCAAAGCCGGTGTGAACCTCATTGTGATTGACTCGTCGCAGGGCGACTCGACGTTCCAAGTGGACTTGATCAAGTGGATCAAGGCCACGTACCCGGACATTGACGTCATTGGCGGCAACGTCGTGACCCGCTTGCAGTGCAAGCGTCTGATTGACGCCGGGGCGGACGGACTCAAGGTCGGCATGGGCGTTGGCTCGATCTGCACGACGCAAGAGGTGTGTGCCGTCGGCCGCGCGCAAGCCAGTGCCGTGTACAACACGGCTCGCTACGCCCGTCAATTCGGCGTACCGGTCATTGCCGATGGCGGGATTGCGAGCTCGGGGCACATTGTCAAAGCACTGGCCGTCGGGGCTTCGGCTGTCATGTGCGGCTCACTCTTTGCAGGGACCGAAGAGTCCCCTGGCCAGTACTTTTTCCAGGACGGGGTCCGTCTTAAGAAGTACCGCGGCATGGGCTCGGTGGAAGCCATGATGCAGGGCTCGTCGAAGCGCTACTTTGCGACCCACGCGACGGTCAAAGTCGCGCAAGGCGTGAGTGGCTCGGTCGTGGACAAGGGCTCGCTCATGAAGTACGTGCCGTACCTGCAGCAGGGGATCAAGCACGGCCTGCAGGACCTGGGGCAAGCCAATCTGAGTGCAATGCACAATGCGCTGTACAGTGGGGAGCTGCGCTTTGAGTTGCGCACGCCAGCAGCGCAGCGGGAGGGGAACGTGCACTCGCTGCATACGTATGAGAAGCGTCTGTACTGAGCAACGCACGGCCAGAAGAGGTGTGTGTGCCAACGAGCGACGACGTAGAGCCGAGCAACACGTTCGTTGCATGGGCTGTTCCTATCGACAGTATATAGTGCAGTCACTGAGCATGGCGTCCTCATGAAGACGGCGCGCCGAAAACTGCATAATAATGAGGACAAGACATAGACGTTTGATTCAGTCAGTCATGCATTAGGTTGGGTTGGTTGGTTGTGGTTGGGTTGGTTGGTTGTGGTTGTACGTGATCTTGCGGCTCTTGACTTCCTCAATGGAGAGAGCTCGAGCGCGTTTAAAATTCGGTATCCTGTTGTGCCATAGGATGCATTGCTGGAGCTCTTCGACTGTAGCTCTTCGGCTGGAGCTCTTCGGCTGGAGCTCTTCAATAGTCGACTTGAACTGGGCTCAGCCCGTCAAGTGCAGTTGCAACAGCGTCTAAAAGACGTCTCGCTGGGCAGCATCTTGGAAGCCAATGAGTCGACCGAATTTGCTGCTAATGTCGTCGTTCTTGGGCGAACCAGTCGACAAACCTTCAGGTCCGGTCCCGGGGAAGCACAGCCAGAGCTCTGGCACCGACTCGCCGCAGTTATTGCGCTCGCTAAAGCTCAGACAGCCGTCTCGAGCACTCAATTTCTGAGCCGTCTCGAGCATCGGCGACGACGTCAGCACGAGTCGGCGCATGGCCACTTGCACCGAGCCGTGTTTCAGGCCATCACATCGGCTCACGAGCGGGTACGAGTCGGTGAACGTCTCGTTCAGAGGCATTGCGAGGCTCAAGTGCACTTCCCCGAGGTCGCGGCCGTCGCCGCTGTGCACAAAGACGTCCAACGTGCGCTGGTCGTTCGCTGGCGACGACGGCAGCCAAAAGACAAAGCGCTCATGGACACTGCTGCAGTGGTCCCGACCGCTCTTCGATTGTGTCGTGCGGCTCAGTTGACTGAGCTGCATCGTCAAGACGAACGGCAGGTCGACTTGAAGGCCACGCGCGTCCAGAATGTCGACCAGAACGACTTCGCCGTAGGGACTGCCGCGGAAAATGGCACTGGCACTGGCACCAGCGGCTGCTGCTGGTCGGCCCCGGGAGCTGACGCTGTGCACGTTGTTGATGGCGTTCTCGGCAGCTTCTCGCGGGAGGAGCGACGGCGCGGCAGCAGCAGTCACCGACACGAACGGGAACGTCGACCGCGTTGACGGCACTGCACAGTCCGAGACGGAGCGAGAGCCTCTCCACGTGATCGGCAGTGGCGGTGCAAACGAGCGAAACGTCGACGGCGCAGCAGACGACAGAGGGGCCGATGCCGGTGCACCAGCAGCTGTGGCAGTAGTCAATCGTCTGCTTTTGATGCTCGAGAAGACACAGGCGTCGGAAAACGTCCGGAACATGGACGCGACGGACTTAGCCGACGACTTGACGGGGGACAACGGCGGCGACTCTGTCGATGAAGAAGAAGACGACGACGACGAGAACGTCGACGACGTGGACTGAGGCGACACGGACGTCGCCTCGTCGAGCGTCGTCGGGTCTGCTCGGCCGTTAGTGTCCATCCTGCAGGTGGGGCTGTCGGCAGTCGGCACAGGCGTCAGAGGGGCCGACGGCTTGACGTTGTGGTCGAGCACTCTCGAGGCCTCTGGGGCAGGAGGACGAGGGGCTTCGCGCCCCACGCGCGTCTGCCAGAGGCTCTTGACGCGCTGGAACTCACTTGGACTGGTGGACATTTCGACTGGCGACGGCGACGACAACGTCGGCGCTGTGGGTCACGAACCGTTTTCAAGAATGCAGTGGGGGGTGAGTCAACGGGTGCGATGGGGTGGCGCGAGTGTGTTCAACGTGGAGCTGCTACACGGGGCCGAGACGGGGCGTACGTACGTACGTGGGCGATCGTAAAGGAGCGACCGACTGCCTCCCAGTCGAGTTGCGGTCGTCTGGTCATTATGTTCGAAGAGATCGAGCGGTCCCCCCACCTGGTGCTTCTGGCTGCAATTCCGGCGCTCTACATGCGCAAACGGTAAGTAGTTAGTTGCCATCCCACGAACGCACCGTCGAGTCCGTTTGGTCGTCAGGGCGACCTCTTCCCCTCGTCCTCCCAGCAGGTCGTCGTCGTCGTCAATCAATCAATCACTCGATCAATCGATCGATCGTCGGCCATCCGGTGGGAACTTGTGGCATGTGTCAAGTGGGACTTCCTGCACGTGCACCAGCTGACTGACTGGACGTTGACTCGACGATTTGGTTCGACGACTTGGACGACGATTGGCTTTCACTATGGAGGGAAAGGCGCCGCGGGTGAACAGCGCGTGTGTTCGTCAAATTGTAGCACAAAAAGCTGTTTTGGGCTCCATCCGACGTGCACTAAGTGTATTTCTCACTTATTTCGTCCGCAGGTGGCTGGCGACCACCGGCGGGTGGGGTAGGAAACCGCTCGACGATTGTGCAAAGGCACCGGCTGACAAAACGTAGCGCTGTTAACACGTACGCGGTGCCGTTTTGCCCATCGGGTGTACAATTGAGACCGCTCTGGCTCTCGAAATAGCGTTTTCAGGTTACATCGCCAATGTCTCAGCTACAAAAGATCCGTCGTCACAAGTGCACGGGCAGCAGGAAACACCGTCACCCACTTGAAGCCTCAGCACAGCAGTCTCGAAATAGGAGCCATGTACTTAGGACAGGCCGTACTTCCTCAGGTACTCGTCCATGGGCAGGAAACAGAACTCGGCCTCGCCGTCGATGCCACGCCAGAGTTTGGCCACTTCTGCAAGCTCCATCTCGTACACTGGTAATCCGTTCACAGCGACAAGCACATCGCCAACATTGATCACGCCGCTCTGCTCCGCCTGTTCACCCGGGAGCAGCCGATGGACGATCACCACGTCGGCTTCCACGTGCTTGGAAAACTCAATCCCGAGCTTGCGAGCTGAAGACAAGACCACGGTACATGCGGTCAGGAGCGACCGAATGTACTCTAGTGCGATCTCCAGACACGTCACGAAGTATGCAATCTCTCCATGTTGACTGCCCAAATCAAAGGTCGTGATCAGCTCTTTGAGCGCCACGGGATCGCGTAGACGCGAGTGAATGAGCACGTAGATGAAGGCGGGAATGAAGGCGTCCGCACTCATGGGCGGCTGAGTAGGGTGCTCGGTGTGGTACACCGCGTAGATGTCCTTGCAAGCCGCCAGCAGCTGCGCACGTTTCATGTACGGGAGACTCACCTTGTCGACTTCTCGTAACTTTGCACAGGCCGACACCCATCGAGAAGACGACACGCTGTCCGGACCGATGCCAAAGAATGCTTGCGACTTGCCGCGCAGAATTTCGATCTTTCCCTTCAGCACTTTTGCATCCTCTCGTGTTTGTGCGTGCACGTTCGTCAAGATCGCACGGTACAGAGGGAATAACACACGTTCTTCAGTCTGCTCGTAAACAATCGTTTGGATGTTATTCGTAGTCTCATTGACCACTGCAGGGTCCTGCGGGCATGCAACGCTTGCCTTGACTCCGTCTTCGTCAGAGTCGCTATCCAAGCTGCTGTCACGCTGTGCAACACCTGCAAGCATCAACAGCTCTTTCAAGCGCGTATGAATCAAATAGCCTGCAAGTCCAATCATGAACTCCCGCACCGTCGTGTTGTGGACTGGACGACCAGCGTGCTCTTTCAAGAAAGCAGCGGATGTGCAGCCCTCCGGGGAGTACGGAGATGCGAGCAGCAGCTGCACTTCGCGTGCCACATCCACCATCACGTCTTCTGTATTTGAAATGAAGGAGGACATACAACGGCGACAGGCCCCGTCAATACTTGCACCACCTTGCTCCAGAGCACCGCATTTGCACGCCCAGCCGATCTCCGATACGCTCATAGGCCTGGAAAAATCGTTGGCATCGGACTTTGGAGGCGTCGCACCAGCCTGTGTCACACTCGTACTACTGCCTTCGCCTACCGAGGCGAGAGCAGCTATCCAGATGGACCGTTCCTCTTGGCTATCAGCATGCAAGAACAGGTTTCGACTAGCGGTACAAATCTGAAAGCTGTGTCTTTCCCCCGTCTTGATACTGTCAACGGGCGATACCCGTGCGCGAGAGACGTCAAGAGAACCCTTTCGGGAACCACCCTGTGGGTGAGCAAAGTACGAAAGCGTGCCGTTCGACAGCTCAAACCAGCGTCGCTTTGTCGATTTTACCATACGACCACGTTTGCGCAGCCAGCCAGAAAAAATGATAGGACCGCCTTTGTCTGCATTGTCGCTGTTCTGCTTCAGCAGTCTTGCAGTCTTGGCACCCTCAGGCAGCAATTGTACATTGTGTTCCTGCAATTTTCGAATCCACACGTCCCGGTCGTGGTTATCCAAAGCGTACAAAACCATACCGTAGCCACTTTGCACAAACTTGAAGCCGCTATGCAACATGCACTGCACTGTGCTCTTTCGCGTGAGATCCAGACGACCACGAACTTCCGTTGCGTCGTGTGTGTCGTGATAAATAAGCTCGTTGTCCACAATACAGAACAGCCGGCGCTTGAAATTACGTAAACCATGACCACGCTTAATGAGCCATCCAGAGTGGCGGACAACGGGCTTGTACTCAAGTACCCATCGCCGACCCTGTGCGCTAGTCGGCGTCGATTGGGCACTGCTTTCGGTGGACTTGACCATCGTACTCGTTGCACGCTCGGTCCACATCTCAATATCCCTGCACAAAGTCAGAGCGGTCCACATAAATCAAGACCTCGGGTCCGTGCCCCTACAAAAACAAAGACGCTGCACGTACCGCTGACTCGGGCGCGTCACGAGCACGACACATCTCGATTCGCGAAGTACGTCCTTCGGCTGATCCGTTAGTGACGAGTTCGAGCGCGTCAACTGTTGCGTCGCAGTGGCTTCTGCACTTTCAGCTTCAATCGTCATGATCGGCTCCTCAGTCTCCGAGGACTCGAGACTCTCATCGGGTTGCGCGACAGCTTCAGTACTTTGCGGTTCTCGAGTATCCAAAGACGACGGACAATAGACGGCATCAAGACTGCAACGCAATGTCCTCGAGCTGCTTTCATCGCCCGAAGAGGACGAAGCTGTAAGAAAAGGAGGTTTGCGTCGCGCATGAAGTTCACGGCCGTCAATGTCCTCCTCTTCTCGACTGCTGTCATCAATTGGAAGGTGCTCTCCAGCCACAAGTCGGTCCTCGTCACTGTCCTCGTCTATGTACACTTCGGGCCGAACTGACCGTCTCACAACAGTCCTCTCTGTCCTCCCAGCAGCTTCTTCGTCTTCTTCTTCTTCTTCCTGTCTCCCCTGCTGCTCTCTCGTCTCCTTCTTCGTCGTAACCTCTTCAATCGGGTACATCATCCGTCTACTGGATGTATTATTCTCTTGACTCGACAGCTGTCCCGACATCTGTTGATGCGCTGGAAGGCTCGCACTGCTGTGTGCATCGGTACTACCGACGCCGCCGTCGCTGTCGTCGCCCTCGTTCATTGTCTCACGCAGGCGCAGTCGAAAGACCTCAATGCTGTGGCGGCGATTTCCCATCTCCATGACACTACAAGACGACGGAAGGCCGTAGCGCTTTCGGGTGTCCGGATACGCGCTATCGCTCGTCGCTGACGGCGCTCGTCCTCGGGGTAATAGCTGTTCGGTACGAGGCAGGTAGTTGGGCAGGTAGGCAGGTAGTCAGGTAGTCAGTTGGGCAGGTAGGTGGGCATGTCGTTTGTCGAGCGGCAGATGACGCGAGTGATACAGGGCGTTAGTGACGCGAGGGCACTAAAATGAATACAGCGATATCGCGTGATTTATTTTAGGGGGCGTGAGCGAGTCAGCTCCTTTTGTGACGCTAAGTCCATTGCATTTCTCTATCCATAAGTACACATTTATAGGTCACCGACCCTATTGTGCTAGGCAAAGGCGGATGCGGGATGGATAAACAAACATCCACGGCAACCCGAGCTTGAAGTCAGTCAAGTAGTGATCTGAAGGGAGCAAGTAGAACAGAGAGCGTCAGCGACAAAGACGCGTTTACAGGCCGCTCTACTGTGATCGCCACTTGTTCAGCTACCGGTGCAACACTGCTACCGCCTTACGAGCAGTACCGTGCTGTACCGCAATGCTGCAGGGACGGCCATGTAGGGTTGCAGGGTAAGCTCGAAGAAACAAAGATGACTACCACATCTGCCATGGGCAACATAGAGTCGAAGCACTTGTAGAGATCAGGTGTAACTGTAGCCATCACTTGCAGCACTGCGTGAGCTGTCATAAACTTCAACATCGGTGTGAAACGTTCACGTCGGACGCGCTGGCCGTCGACTCGACGTGACCCGCGCAGACAATATGTGCGCACGTTTTATATCCAAACCGCCTTCGTGACGGCCTCGCGTCAGCCTCGCCTCACCCGCCTTCGAGCCAATGCCCGTCGCAGAAAATCCCTTTTTAGCCAATCGCATCGCAGACCTCTTCGAGTCGCCCACGACGTGCAGTAGTTTCCAATTCACCGCCCGCCACCGAAGTCGCTCCACGTCAGTCCACAGGCCGCGCGATGAGTAGTGCCCCGCACGCGCGCATCAGTCAGCTCGCCAGCCATCTCAGCTCGCACGACCCGCGACAAGAAGAGAGCGACTACGCGCAGCGCGTCAAGCAGACGGCGGCGTTTCTCCATAGCGAGCGGTTCCAGTTTGTCAAGCGGCCGTATGGCGCCGAGGACGTGGTCAAGCTCCAAGGCACAGTGCCCGCGGCCAACGTCGGCTCGGCCATGTCGCACAAGCTCTACAAGATGCTGCGCGAGCTGCAGGCAGTCCAGAAGACGAGCCACACGTTTGGCGCGCTCGACACGATCCAAGTTACTCAGATGGCCAAACACTTGTCGACGGTCTACGTCAGCGGCTGGCAGTCGTCTTCAACGGCGTCGACGTCGAACGAGCCGGGACCGGACGTGGCCGACTACCCCATGGACACGGTGCCGAACAAAGTGGACCAGTTGTTTCGGGCCCAGCTCTTTCACGACCGCAAGCAGTACGAGGCGCGTCGCCGCTTGACGGCCGACGAACGTGCACGCACCCCGCCGACGGATTTCCTGCGTCCAATTGTCGCAGATGCCGACACGGGTCACGGCGGTCTCACTGCCGTGATGAAGCTGACCAAGATGTTCATCGAACGTGGCGCTGCTGGCATTCACCTCGAGGACCAGAAGCCCGGCACGAAGAAGTGCGGCCACATGGGCGGCAAGGTACTCGTGTCGGTGCAGGAGCACACCCAGCGACTCATTGCTGCTCGTCTGCAGGCTGATATCCTTGGCAGCCCGTTGGTTGTCGTGGCCCGCACGGACGCTGAAGCTGCTACGTTGCTGGACAACAACATTGACCCTCGCGACCACCCGTTCATCATTGGCGCCACGAATTTGAACGTGGAATCGTACGTTGACGCTACTCGCGCTGGTCGGGAGAGCAAGTGGGACAAGCTCGCACAGGCCAAGACGTACCCGGAGGCGGTTCGCGAGGTGTTGCAAAAGGCGGGCCGCTCGGATGCCTTGGCCAAGTGGAATGCCCAGTGTCTAGAGCTGGGTCTGTCCGAGTTGCAGAGCCTAGCAAAGTCACTAGGTGTGGACGTTGCCTTTGACTGGGACCTTGCCCGCACTGTAGAGGGGTACTACCGTGTGCGCGGCGGTGTCGACTATTGCATTGCCCGTGGCCGTGCGTATGGTGAATACGCCGACTTGATCTGGATGGAGACGGCCAAGCCAGGTGTACCGCTGGCGCGGACGTTTGCTGAGGGCGTCAAAGCTAAACTTCCGCACCAGATGCTGGCGTACAACTTGTCGCCTTCGTTCAACTGGGACGCTGCTGGCATGTCGGACACTGAGATCGAGACTTTCGTGACGGACCTGGCCCAGCTGGGCTTTTGCTGGATGTTCATTACGCTAGCTGGTTTCCACAGCGATTCGCTTGGCATCACCCGTTTTGCGCGTGACTACGCCAAGCGTGGCATGCTCGCGTACGTCGAGGGCGTGCAGCGAGCCGAGCGCAACGAGGGCGTAGAGACGCTGAAGCACCAGGGTTGGTCAGGTACCGAGCTGGTGGATGCCATGCAGAACACCATCACGGGTGGACTGTCGTCGACAAACACGATGGGCCACGGGGTTACCGAATCGCAGTTTTGAGCCCCAGTCCAGCTCGAATCGTTTGCAGGACAGGAGCAACGTGGTACTTCGTGTTAGACCGTGTTGCGGCGAGCGGTGATGATGGAGCAGCTTTTCCACGCACGTGTAGGCAGAATAAAAAGACAGAGAGTGGAAAGGCGCGAGTGCTGTTTCTAGCTGCTCGTGGCGAGTCAATAGATTGTTGTCGCGTGACAATGTCCCAAGCGAACCTCAGTAGCACAACATGGATACTGCTACGTAGCAACTATGGTACGAGGTACGAGGACCAAAGCACGTTGCACGACGTCATGAAAATCAACGAGTCCGAGCATCACGTGTCCCTGTGCGTCGTCACCCTTCACTCTCGATTACCCCCTGCGTTAAGCTCGACGTGCGTCTTCGTTCGCCTCGTTGTCGTCCCCGTATGTACCCATCCGCCCTCCCTCTCCTGCTTATAGCACACCGCAGTCGACAATCCGGACGTCTGTCAGCGGCTTGTGCTGCACGCAGTAGACCCCTTCGATGCTCTTGAGCACGTCTTCGCCCTCGACGATCTTGCCGAACGCGACGTTGCGGCCGTTCAAGTGCGGCAGCGGCCGGAGCGAGATGAAGAACTGCGACGCGTTCTTGTTCCGACCGGCATTGGCCATGCCCAGCACGCCCTTCTCGGAAAACTGCAGCGCGTAGTTCTCGTCGTCAAAGTACCGCTCGTTCGCCTTTAGCGCCGCGTGGCCGCCCGTGCCAGTGCCCGTGAGCACGTCGCCGCCCACGCAGTACACCCCTTTGGTCACATTGTGGAACTTGGAGTCCTTGTACGAGCCCGCGCCGAATGCCTCCGACGTGAACCCATTTGTGCACATTGTGATAAAGTTCGTGGCCGTGCGCGGCACAATGTCCTTCGCCAGCTCCACGACAATGCGCTCCGACTTGGCGCCGCCGATGCTCACGTCTAGAAAAGCGCGAGGCCGCGGCTGGGCAGGTGGGGGCGCTACTGCGTCGTACGCCACCGCTGCGGCCTCGGGCGCGTTCATCTTCGCGAGCGAGCGGTGGTACCAGCCCCAGCCACGCGCTCCGGCGCGCGATATGGCGTCGCCAGCGCTTCGGACGACATTCGCTCGACCAATCGCCGACATGGCTACACGTTTTCCGTCGTTTGGTACGTGAACGAGTGAGGCAGTGGTGGAGTAGTGCAAAACTGTCACGCCAGTGGATTTCCAGCCAACAGCGTGATCGTACTTACTGGAGTACGTCTTGTCCTCGTTGAGTGACTTGTTGCACTAGTGACTACTTGATGAGCTTTTCAGTGTGGCACAGATCGGACGGCTTTTGGGCGTCAGATTTGTTCTTTGACGTCGATTGAAGCGGCTGAGGCGATGGCGCGGGACAACCGATTGCTCGTTGTCGTGGCAGGCGTCACGGTCGTCCTCGTGCTCGCTCAGTTTGTGCTGATTAGCGAGCAATCAGCAGTGTATGTCGTGCAGGAGGACGAGCCGATGCAGTTGGAAGCGCAGAAGGCGGTACAGGGGAAGAAGACGCTCGTGTTTGAACAGCCCAAGACGCTGCCAGTCGTGTTGATGCACGGTATGGGTGACGCTGCGAGGAACGGAGGTATGCTGCGCATACAAAAGGTACCAGTAGTGATTGGTTCGTCTCTTTTTTTGTTGCGTGGCTGGTGTGTTTGTCGGTGAAACTCTGTTGTAAGCGCTTTTTTTCGTTTTTTTCGTTTTTTTCGTAGGCAATCGCAGAGCGTCTTGGAACTTATGTGGCGAACGTGCAGCTGGGCGAGTCGGTGCATGACGATGTGACCAACAGCTTCTTTATCACGATGGACAACCAGACAGCAATGTTTGCTGACATTGTGCGAAAGGTGCGGCGAGACTGTTGGATTGTCGAGTGGATGTGACCGTGGAGTCGTTACTTGTTCTGTGCTGACGTATCCTGTCGATCCAATAGGACCCACAACTGGCGCTCGGATTCAATGCGGCGGGGTTCTCACAGGTGAGTTGTTGCTGCTGTATTGCTACAGGGCATTGCAATCTCATGCAGCACGTCGCTTCTTTCGTACTGCGACCAGGGCAACTTGTTGATTCGCGCGTACATTGAGCGGTATAACGACCCACCAGTTCACAATTTTATCTCGTTTCATGGACCGCTTGCTGGCGTCGGAGGACTTCCACGTTGCTCGCCTCTTAACTTTATCTGCAAGGAAATTGACAAGGTTGGTCGCGTGTGCTGACACTTGTGCCAAGTCGGCATCTCTGACATGTCGTGCGTGGTATGTTGTGTTAGCTGATAGGAGAAGCAGTCTACACCGAAGAAGTTCAAGGTACGTGAGCGATGCTTGCCCTGCAATGTCAACGATGCTGACTTGCGTTGACCATTATCCAGAGCGCATCGCACAGGCAAACTACTACCGAGACCCGCTTCGTATCGATGCCTACCTCAAGCATGGTCCGTGTGCAGCTGCTGTGGTGTCAAGTATGCTCCGTGTTCCCTAACTTGTCCTATGCGTGGCCTGCTCCACTTGTACAGCGAGGTTCCTCCCCGATCTGAACAACGAGCGGACGCCGGTCAACAAGACGTACAAGGACAACTTTACCAAGCTGCAGAACCTCGTGCTTGTCCGCGCGAACCAGGACACGCAGGTCTTTCCCAAAGAGTCGGAATGGTTTGGCATGTACGAAGACGGCGATCCGTATCACCACGTGCTGCGCTTCAACGAGACGCGGTGGTACGAGGAAGATTTGTTCGGCTTGAAGACGCTCGACGCGGCCGGTAAGGTGCACTTCTTGTCCACGGACGGCGACCACCTGAGGTTCTCGATTGACTTTATACTTGGCGTGGTCGACAAGTACTTTCGTCCGCGCCTGACGACAAACTAGCAGTGTGCTGGAGTGGTGGTAATCAACGAAAGTCTCTGCCAACGTCTGGCTGGTTTTTGCTCGTCCCCTCTTGTGCTTTTTTGGGATCCTGTGTATTTCGATCGAATCAGATATTAACTATGAGAAACGCTCTCCCCATTCGCGCTACTGCCTCTTCGAAAACGTTCAGAGAGGGCACACGGTTCAGACCCTTCCAGAGAGAGAGAGAGCACGCGCTGCCCGACACGCCGCCCCCCCCAGAGCGCGACCCCACTTTGCAGCAGTCCACGAGACGCACGAGATCGCGTTGCGCCAGACACCCGATCGCTGACACTCGCTCCGCTGTCTTCAGACGCCACGGAAAAGCCGCGTAAAGTCGGCTCGAGACTGAATCAGAGACTCGGTCGATCACGTCGTGTCGTTTGCACAGAGCCTATTGCTTCCAACCTTTGCGCCGTATCTATTGACGTATCATAATGTCGTCGTGGGATCTGGTAGGCCGTCCACTGGTGCCGTTCTTTGACACGGAGGAGAACGTGAACAACTCGCTCGAGTTTGCTGAGGGGCACAACGAGCGGGAGGACATTGATGTCGACGCGCGGGTGTGGGACAAAGAACTCGGATACTTTGTGTACCCATCCGAACACTCGAGGGCGACGTCGGCGCCAGTTGCCATTGCAGCAGTGACTCGAGAGCGTAAGGCAGACAGCGGCAGTAAGTTGTTGCTCACGCCGTCGATGATGCTATCGAGCAGCGCACCAAACTCGCTGGACGCAGAGCGAACGTTCCTGTCAGCTGCTCCCGGTATGGAATTGCTCATTATGCTTCTCGTGTCGGTGGACCTCTTGTTGAACGCTCACGACTTTTGGTTGAAGTGACTAACATGAAGTGCGTGCATTGCGCTGTTGGCATAGATGGCGTTGGACCACGCAGTTGCTCAGCAAAGCGGGAACCAAAACAAGCAAAGACTCGACCCAGTGCGTCTCGATGTCCAAGCGAAGCGGTCGACGATGCGTCCACTGCAAATGTTTCGTCAAGAAAGGAGAAGAGTAAGGGAGGCAATACGACCAGCTATGGTGCCCAGTCGGGTCATCGCCAGCAGCCACGCAACGGTAAGGTGAAGGAGCAGCTTTCAGATTCGGGAAAGTGGGCCTGGTCAGCCTTCCAGTCGTCGCCTGATCCGGCTGAGCTACCGATGCCTCCATTCCTCGCACAATTGGCTGACGGCGTGAGCAACTGTGACGGGTCGATTTCAGCCTCGACATCTGCCGCTCCTTCGCCGTTGCCACCGGTGCCACCTGTGCAGCTCGTGACCGCAGCACCCGCGCCGTCGCTTTCGTTGGGGTCACTCCCTGCACAGCCACCTCAGCCTCCACTACCGCCGATACCAACGGCACCTCCGGATGTGACGGTGCCAGCGGCCCCGATGTCCGCCGAGTTGTCCATGACTCAAGATCTCCGCAGAATGCTGAACATTGGGGGAGGGTAAGGCAAGAGCGGGCAATGCCGAGAGGGAGAGAAGCACGACAAACGAAGAAGGTTGTCGTTTTCGCCAGTACCGCGTACCAGCTGTGAGAGCTGATGCAGCAAAGAGCAGCTAGCTGGGTGTGGCAAAGTGGTTTGGCTTTAGTGCGTCGAAACCTGCGACGGACAGCAGTGAGAACGGAAGATGTGCAGAAGCACGCGATAGCTCTTGTGGAGCCACTGCGTGCTGGTTTCTTACTGCAAGCAGGTTCCACAGCTTGTATAAATGGCACGAGTCTGGTACTCTCCTTCTGTCTTCGGTGACCAAACCGATCATTGCTGTGTCGCATGCCGAGCTTCTCGCACGTTGTATGAGTTTGTGTCCCCTGAGTGACCTCTGCTGGTGAATCGGAAGAGCAGTAGTACCCGCTGACATTTTGTAACATTGCACAGCTGTGAACGCACAGCTCAATCGGTCGAGTCTCGACAGTCGTCGTCAAAAATATGGCTACATCTTGAGTGACGAGGTGCTCCTCGTGGAAACCGGACGTGACAAACAACGAATCGGCATAAGATTTGTGACGCCGCGTCAGTATTCGGAGGTATGTGCATCGCCAGGCGTGTCCGTTTCGCTGCTGTTCGTGTCTTTTTTCTGCGCGCGCTTCAGCAAAAACCAGACAAGTAAAGTACCGAACCGAACAGACTGACCTGCGTGCGTGCCCTTTTCTTCCGCTACAATTATTGCGTCACTAAAGCGAAGGACCCGCAGAAGCGGGCGTTTCAGCTTCAACAGTCCTTTCACGCTGCAGCTTCGCCTCCCTGTCGTCTTCTGCCCGTAGAGACACTCGCTCTACAAGACGGACGAACAGACGGGACGTCCAGACGCTGACCAGAACAACAAAGAAACTCGGAGGGCCAAACGACAACAATAGTACTTCGCTCGCCACACATACTATTTTAACGAGTCGTACAGTAGTACTCCTCCTCCTCCTACTACTACTACTACTACTACTACTACTACTACTACTACTACTACTACTACTACTACTACTACTACTACTACTACTCTTCGTGCACCCAGTGGATATTCCCTCTCGACCTCCTGAACAAAATCAAGCGACGCCCAGACAGACACTTCTCGCGCATGGAAGTCACTGTATGGAGTCGCAAAGCGGCTGCGGACCACGAGGACGTCCGACGCGAGCGGACCGCTGAGCGCGTGCGGCCGCTCGTCGCGTCGTCGAGTTCCGCCGCCGCGAAGAGCTCTGCATCGGTTTGGGCCAATCAGACACTGGCAGCGGACGTCAGTGGGCGACGCCGAGCGGTCGCAGAGTCTCTCGTGCGGACGCGCTGCTACTCGGACGGAAAGATGTGAGTGCACTTTTGATTTGTATGTATGGGCGTTGACGCGTTGGGCGGCAGTCGCTCTGTGTGCTGTTTGCGGTCGATGGAAGTGAAGCGATACCGACCGGCGCTGACTGCAACTGATGACTCTGTTGCTATTGCTACTTCTGTTGCTGTTGCTACTTCTGTTGCTGTTGCTACTTCGGTTGCTATTGCTACTTCTGTTGCTGTTGCCACTTCTGTTGCTATTGCTACTTCTGTTGCTGTTGCTACTTCGGTTGCTGTTGCTACTTCTGTTGCTATTGCTACTTCTATTGCTATTGCTACTTCTATTGCTGTTGTTGTCGTGCTCTTCGATGTTGCTGCTGATGTTGGCACTGTGCGATTAGTGCGAAGGCGTTTGGAGAGTTGCGGACGGCTAAAGGTGCACAAGAGGACGAGCATTGCGCGCGAGTGGCGGACGTTCCTTTTCCTGTGTCGAGAGTTTGTTCGACGTGGATGTTGCGCCGTGAAGGAGGTACAGGAGGAGAGAGGAAGCGATTGGACTGATGACAATCGTCAGAGAATAGCGCGAGACCATTGACCGAGTGGTCTCATTGTGTGTGTGTTTTCTGTCGTGCTATTTTGTTTCTGCCGATTGCATAGATCCGACGTCACCGGCGTTTGTCACAACGAGCAGCGACAACAAGACGACGTCTCCACGACAGTCTGCAGACAGTTGTGTACTGCTGAGATCACCGGCGCCAAACAAGCGGATTTGCAGCCATCAGCAGAGTTTGATACCGAGCACGACGAGCGCGACCAGTCCCTGTACGTCTTCGCTTGTACAAGCGAGAAAGCGCTCTCTAGGGGTGTCTGGTGCAGCCCACTTTGCGAAATCGACCGACAAGCGCACGTCGGTACCGATCGCGATGAGCGTGGAGAGCCAGCGGAATGCTGTTGACGGGACACTACGCTTGCCGCCGTCGTTGTTCTCGACTCCAGCGATCGACGAGCTCCTGCCTCAAGGAGACGTACATGCACAAAAGAGGACATGCTCGTTCCAGCAGCGTCGCAGTCGGAACCCAGGCAACTTGTCGCTGGACTTATCGCAGGTGGTCCAGACCGGCTCTGGTCCCTCTACTTCTGCGACCATGACATGGACCCGACTGAATGATCAGGTCGCGTTGTGCTCCAAAGTCACAGACTTTCTATACATTGGGGGCGCCGTTGCTGCCAAGAACAAGTCGCTCTTGCTTCAGAACGGCATCACCCATGTCATTAATTGCGCCGCCGGCGTGGCCCCAGCGTCGTTTCCAGAGGAGTTCTGCTACTACAACATACGACTCCGTGACCACTCGTCGCAGGACATTGCTCGGCACTTTTACAGCATGTTTGACTTCATCGAGCGTGCTCGCGCGTGCGGAGGACGTATCTTTTTGCACTGTGTGAAGGGCATCTCCCGCTCGCCTACGATGGCGATCGCGTACTTGATGTGGCACAAGCGCATCAGCATGTACGAGGCGCTGGACTTTGTTCGACAAGCGCGTTCGATCGTCGACCCTAACGCTGGTTTCATCTTTCAGCTGACCGAGTGGGAACAGCTGCATCCGGATGGGAGACTCAAGTTTCAGGGTACAATCGCCTTCCGAGTGGATGTGGCGCACGCCGTGAACTCGGACCCGACTGGCAAGTGCCATAGCACAGTGGTGGGGAGCAATCCGCTCTTTGTACCGCTCATGGACATTGACGAGAGGCATTTTCGCGACCCGACGAAGGACTTTGGGGAGCAGTGTTTGATCGTGGCGTGTGCCGACTATATGTTTGTCTGGTGCGGTACGGACGTCAGTGAGGACCACGTGGACGTTGCTGAGAGCGGTGCAATAATTCTGCAGCGGTACGAGGCGTTCCCGTTGAAGTGCGAGAGAGTGCGGCAGGGACAGGAACCGGCAGCTTTCTGGCACCTCGTTGGCGATGGCGTTTGATATTGACGACACGTCGCACATCTATGGACGTGCGTGAGATGCAGACGTAATGGACGACCGGTCGTTTCTCGTCCTGAAGTCTCTTTTTTACATTCCGACTGTAGCGTTTTGTACATTCTGGCGGACTGTTGCTGAATGGCAGCATGAACGTCCGTTCTTTTCTGCTCGAAGACCGTTTGTGACTGCGTTTGTCGATCCGAGAGTAAAAGCGCTACACGTTCTTCCGGACTTGATTTGTCATTGGTTACACGTTGTGCAATCGCGTTGTTCCCTGATGCTTATTCTGCATCGAATGGAGCCAAAACTGTCCCATCGTGTGCTGCGCGATACGTCGAAACGGGGCGAGCGTGGACATTGCTCTGATGTCGCTTTTGACTCGATTGAAACTTACGTCATTGCTAAAAACAGGCAGTCCACCAAAGCGATAGCTCTATTCTATTGGTTGATGCCAGCCTATGTTGTACCCACCTGTCCATAAATGCATTCGACGTGCTTGAAGTGCTCAAATTGTAATGATTTGGCGATGGAATTCCCAAAGCGCAAATGATGTGATTTCACCCATTTTCCCCATATCGCCGTCTTTTGCCAAGCCCACTATGTACGCTCTGACGGTTGATCTTGCCCGATCTTTCCCGATATATAATTCTGGAGGTTACTTGATCTGAACTAAAACTCGCACATGCAGTTAGTTTTTTTACGGCGTTTGCACACAGGACATAAGAAGCGCTAATAATTTCATCATAGAACGACTGTAAGCGCACTTGTATGACTTCTAAACACTGATAATCGTGCGAAGGACACGCGCGTGAGAGCTCACGTTCACTGACGACGAGGACGCGCGCAAGTCGTTCACCTGGTGAAAAGAGCAAATACACAGGCTTGCTATGATGGCATGTGACCTGGAACCAGGCTATGCCATCGCAATACAATTACGTGTCAATTTGGAGTGCTCACTGTGTGCACCTTGATGGTTGAGAGAGTGGGCGGTCGGTCGGTGGTTGACCTTTGCTGGTTGATAAGGGATCTAATGTCCGTAAAAGGTGTCTAACTGCGCCTGTAGTGATTCATCGACTCTAATCGAGAGTCCGAAATTCGAAACGGACCCGACCCCAACCATTTCTGAGACCAGAAGAAAGCGTCTATTTTGGCTCTTATTTCGTAGGTGCTCGTCTTTAGGGGTGCAGGAAAGCACTTACCATCATGATCGTCTCTACCGCTTAAGAAATGGTCAGCTGTTTTCCATGGACACGTCAGAAACAGTCCAGGGCGTTTCTACCGTCCGCGTCGCTGTCGACTGGCAGACCGCGATAGGTTCACAACCGTCGAAGGTCAGGCGCGTGGCCATCCAGAGTCACTCTGTCGATTCCAGCCAACCAACCAGCCAACTAACCCACGAAAGACCGATCAATCAATCGATCGATCGATCGATCGATCGAACCGACTATCTGCCCAGGACCACCTCAACCAACCAACGAACTACCCAACTACTGCCCAACTACTGCCCACTAACTAACCACCAAGAACAGCTCAACCGAATGACGACCTCGAGCAGTTTGAGCGCCACGCTACTGCTCGTGACGGGGGTCGTGGGTGTGGGTATAGCCGCCATGGGCTACTACTTGGTGCACGTCAACAATAGCAGGAAACTCCGCGGGGTTTCCACCGACAGCAGCGAAGGCAGTGCGTCGGAAAGCGATAAGGCGTCGAGCACTGTGCAGCACAAAGAGAAGAGCGACAGGACGCGAACGTCGGCAGCGGACAACAGAGCGACAGCTGGTGCTACCGGTAAACTGCAGGAGCTCATTGTGCGTGAGAAGACTGTGGCTACTGGAACACTTGAGGTCACACCTGGCGGACAAGAGAAGGTGCTGAAGACTAATGTGGCTGAAGCTGCCAAGTCGTCGACAAAGGTAGTGGATCGCTTGGTCGATGTCGAAGTAACGAAGAAGGTCCAGTGGGGCTCTACGAAGACGCTGGAAAGCAGTCGCAGGAAGGCTGCAGAGAGCTCGACGGTGACGGAGAAGTCGGTGGTTCTTGACGTTTCGAGTCCGTCCAACGGAGGCCCAAGGAAGGTTTTTGAGCGTCGTACGGAACCCGCTGTAGTCGTAAGGAAGATTACAGAGAGCTGTCAAGAGATTGATGTACGTACCGAGGGGACTGGTGACAGCTCGGAGAAGGTTGCGGACGCGGCTGAAGCTGTTGCTGATGAGCAGTCGACGCAGGCCTCTGCCAGCGCAACGAAAGCCATGGCAAGTCCCGCGAAAAGTCCAGGCAAGATGCCAGCGGCTACGTCTGCTACTGATTCTGCTACAATCGAGTCGAGGGAGGACTACGTCGTGGCCCAAGCAGTCATTGAAACTGCGAGCGCATTTACCGATGAGTTTCTTCAGGAGTCGCTCGAGAACATCGCACTAGAGCATGAAGAGTATGTCCAGGTGGACTTGACGCGGTCGATGATGCTGTCGCAGAGTACTTTTGAGGCATCCCGCACTGAAGACCCAGTGGCGAAAACCGAAGAGATTGTTTCTGTATCTGCAGTCACAGCGGTCGAAGAAAGCCCTGTTGAGGAGAGCATCAGTGAAGAAAGCATTGTCGAGGAACGCGTTGTTGAGAAGAGCATTGTCGAGAAGAGCGTCAGTGAAGAAAGCATTGTCGAAGAGATCATTGTTGAGAAGAGCATTGTCGAAGAGATCATTGTTGAGAAGAGCACTGTCGAGGAAAGCATTGTCGAGGAAAGCGTTGTCGAAGAGAGCGTTGTCGAGGAAAGCATTGTCGAGGCCAGCGTTGATGAGAAAAGGACAGTCGAAGAGGGCGCTGTCGAGGAAGGGCGGGTGCAAGTTCCATTTGAGCCAAGTAAGTCGACCGTAACGGAACCTATCACGGACGCTGGTGCGGCAATCGAGACGTTGCCGCCAGGAAGCCCCGATGCGACACCGCTGTCATGGGAATCTATTGTGTTAAGCCCAGAGCTGGATGCAGAACGTGCTGAGGAGACCTTGACTCCGTTGTCACTAGACACTCCGGCAGAAAGCACTGACTCCACGGAGCCCCTATCGATTCGAGTTCCAGCTGAACAGACTGAGACGCATGCTGACGATAAAGACGCGAGCTCTCCCGTGGACAGTGGCGACTCGACGCCCAATACACGCAAGCGCAACCGAGCAAAGAAGGCCAAGAGCAAAAAGAAGAAAGGCAAGAAGCACCACTAGTCCAACGCTTGATAGGAGGAAGGGATGCTTGTCGTAGCGCGCGCCGTCTGAGGTCGATTGATGTCGGACGACGCGGTGAAACTCGCTTGTAGTGCATGTAAGTAGCAGTGCCTTGACGCGTCACCAGTTTGTTTCTGCAGTGGTTATACACATACCAACGTTAGTACATGTACGTGTACTTGCTTGCTTCGTACCGGGTCAACTGTACCTCACACGTAGAGCGCAGTCGAGAGCTTGAGACCAAGGAACTTGCGCACGTGGTCGTCATTCGCGACTCCAGGGATCCGCAGCATGTGATGGAGAAACCCCTGCAGCAGCCCTTTGCGTCGGGCCAGAAAGTCCGGGTTGAGGTCCCGACCGCAGTACGTCTTGGGCGGCAGCTCGGGCAGTCGCGCGCCTGCAATGAAGCGCACACTTGACGTGCACAAACGTCCGCTTCAGTACCACGTCCCACGAAGGCGCAGCAGCAACGTGCTCTGCTGCATACGGCGTCTCACCTCGCCTGGAGCTTGTCGAACTCGCTGAAGCGACGCCGGACGTTCCACGTGCGCCGCCCGTTCTGGACCTGGAGCTCGTACAGCGCGAACTCGTGCTCCTTTACGACGACTGTGATGATCGCCACTGTAAAGTAGTCGGAGCCTATCAATGTCCAGAGCGTGAGGGAGCAGTCGGTGGAGATGGATCGATACATAAATGGGTACAGGGACAATGGATCGATAGATGGATGGATGATAATACATAAATGGGTACATGGACAGTGGGTACAGCCTTCGATGGATGGATGGATGGGTACATGGACAGTGGGTACAGCATTCGATGGCCATTGAACAGGCGCACGCACGTACCGTAGCGCATCGACCAGGTCTCCTCCGGTAGATACACGAGCGACATGACCGTCGCCGCCGTAAGCAATCGGAATCGTATCTTATCGAACTCGAGCAAACACGTTTTGTCCCGTGCTGTCTCTCCGTTCTGATTCGTCCGAACTCTTGTGCCAGTGCACTGCAGTGGGACTCCATTTCAGCCTATCGCCAGTCGCCCTGCGACCCCGCGCGGCTTTGCAGCACGGGATAACGCAGCGAAGAAGCTTCTCCCGTTCTCGCCGTGTGCCGCCCGCAATGCAGGTCTACGTGCGCGTGCGCAATGCTGGAAGCAGCTACGAGTGGTCACGTGGCCGCGTGCTACGTCGTGTGCAAAACTCCGCGTCTCACGTGCTCGTACGGCTTCACAACAGCGAAGACACTGTCGAGGTGGATGAAGTTGAAGACGTGCGCATGACGAACGAGTTGGCGGCTGGAGAGACGCTGGCGGAAGTACAAGAGCTCGACGCGCTTGCGCACTTGCACGAGCCTGCGATTGTGGAGTATCTGGCGCAGCGCTACGGAGTGGACCAAGTGTATTGCAGGTCAGGTGCGGTTTTGATTGCTGTGAACCCATTCAAGGACATCTCGGGCCTCTACGACCTGCACAAGTTCCGTACAGAGATGTCTGGACACACGTCGCTGCCTCCCCATGTGTTTTCGATTGCTGAGGGCGCCTTTCGGTCGTTACAGCGGCAGTTACAGGAGTCTGGGGCGAAGAAGCAGAATCAGACGATCTTAGTGAGCGGCGAAAGTGGCGCGGGAAAGACCGAGACGACAAAATTCATCATGAGTTATCTGGCAGAAAGCAGTCGAGATAAGGTCTTGATGAGTAGCAGCAAGAGCAAGCAGGCGATTGGCGGCAGTGAATTGGTAAGCGCGAACCCGATCCTCGAGTCTTTTGGCAATGCCAGAACACTGCGTAACGACAATAGCAGTCGCTTTGGAAAGTTCTTACGCATGTTCTTCGACCTAGATGGTGACGGACATACAATGGATGCACCGCTGACGATGGTAGGCACATCGGTGGAGACGTACCTTCTGGAAAAGGTCCGTGTGGTGCACCAGACCGATGGCGAGCGTAATTTCCATGTGTTCTATGAGCTGCTTGCTGGTGCAGATGACGAACTGAAAAACAAGTTGCATCTTGAAAGTATGTCAGCGCGTGATTTTCAGTACACAAACGAAGGACGGTGTTTTCGGAGAAACGATGGTGTCCGTGATGATAAGCAGTTTCAGCTGATGATGCGATCGATGAAAGTTCTCGGTTTTACCGATGTCGAGCAGGAAGCAATTTGGAAAATCTTGAGTGCACTGCTACATCTCGGCAACGTCTCGTTTGTTCCTTCGAGTGAAGATGAGAAGAACGGGATGGAGTCAGCACCGTGTTGGCTTGCATCCAGCTCGCCGTCTTCGCTTACGGTACAGGAGCACCTCGATGCTGTGTCGAAGCTCTTTGCTGTAGATCAAGAAGAACTGGTATCAGCATTGACCACGCGAAAAATCAGTGTTGGCGACGAAACGTTCCACGCGAATCTGAGTCTTGCGCAATGCGGAGATGCTCGGGACGCAATGGCCCGCTCATTGTATGCTTTTTTGTTCCAGTTTCTGGTTGCCAAAATAAACTCGGCTTCACCACAAGTCGATCAAGCTGCTAGTGCTGCGAGTAAGGAAGCTTCAACAGCAATACCATGCATAGCAGTCTTGGATATATTTGGCTTCGAAGAATTTGAGGTCAATCAGTTTGAGCAATTTTGCATCAATTATGCAAACGAAAAGTTGCAGTATCAGTTCATCCAGGACATTCTTCTGACTGAGCAGCAAGCTCATATCGGGGAGGGTATTCGGTGGAAAGCTGTTGACTACGAAGATAATCTTGTATGTCTAGAGATGATTGAGCAGCGACCGAGTGGCATTTTCTCAGTTCTGGATGAGGAATGTGTTGTTCCAAAGGGCAGTGATGCAGGCTTTGCTCGGAAGCTGTATCAGCGACTGCACGATCACTGCAGCTTCAGCGCTTCCCGATCCGAGCAGGCCGAATCCACCTTTCAAGTCCATCACTACGCAGGCAATGTACAATACCAAGCAGAGGGATTTTGCGAGAGAAACAAGGACCAGCCGAATGCAGAGCTGTTTGGCGTTTTGGAGAAATCCAGTGACTCACACTTGCGCGAGCTGTTCAACTTTTTCGAAGCCAGTGAATCAGCACAGCTTCAGCTGGGTCTGCCCAAGTTGAGGCGGAGATCCTCAGCTCTCACATCTGCAGGCATCGGGTCCCAGTTCAAGCAGCAGTTGGCAAGTTTGCTGGATGTCGTCCAGCAGACGCAAACGCACTATATTCGATGCATTAAGCCAAACAACACGGGTGCAAGTAACGAGTTTGATATGGCAAAAGTGTCAAGTCAATTGCGATACGGCGGTGTACTGAAGGCGGTGGAAATCATGCGTCAGTCTTTTCCCGTGCGCGTGGGCCATGCCGACTTCGTCGAACGTTATCGAATGCTGGTGGCTACGAAGCCGAGTAAACATTACAGGCCTGCCCCAGGATATACCGCTGCGACTTTATTGGCAGCCATGAAGATCGACCATGCTGAGCTGGGTAAGTCCCGTGTGTTTTTACGACAGCAAGCTTTTGATCGATTGGAGAAAGAACGCGAGCACGTTATTGCGATATTAGTAACGAAGTTGCAAAGCTCGTGGCGCAGCAGACAGCAGCGCCGAGTGTACACCAGACAACTGCATGCCCTGCGTACAACTCAAGTGCGATGGAAGGCTATTCTGAAAAAGAAGCGCCACGTTGCTCGACGCAACGAAGCAGCAAAAGCACTCCAGCGTGCTGTGCGTGCCTGGCTGAGCAGGATCGAGACGTGTCGATGTCAGAGCGCATTGCTCATCCAGCAAAGTTTTCGCCGATGGCTCTGTGCGCGCATGGCGTTATTGAGAGGTGCTGCCTCGGCTGAGACTTTTGACAAAGCCTTGGTGGATCCGTGTGGCTGCGGTGGTCGTGAAAGTGAGCGTACAGTCGAAACTTTGGAAGAAGACGACGTGCTTTCGATCGCAACTGCATCAGCTGGAACAAGCGCGTACTCCGAGGATGTCGATTTTCTCTCAATGGGTGCGGTGCCGAGAGCAAGTCTTCGTGGCAGCATGACGGAATTCGGCAGCGGAACTGGTGGAGAGAATGCTATGCTCAAGAAGGCCTTGAGGGAGGTCGAAAGGCTTCGTCGCCGAGCAGAAGTTGCTGAAGCTGCGCTGTCACATTTTGCCGGACGGGATGTTGATCCTGTCTCCAGCGACGCTGTATCCATCGTTGCGACTAGAGCTATGTCGCACGCAGACGGGGCGCTTGGTTTCCCGCAGTACGGTCGTCGTGCAAGCGATAGCGGCGACTTTGTGTGGCCTCAGCTCAGCATGTCGAATCTCAGAACTGATCGATACGGTAACACTGTATTGCACCAGGCCGTGGAGGGCGGCAACGTGGAGCTGGCGTGTGCTCTTCTTGTCAATGAAGCAAGTGGGGCGCTTGACATGCTGCAACAAGCCGAAACGCAGCGTGGCTTCTCGCCGTTGCATCTTGCTGTTCGCAGTGGCAACATCGAAATTGTGAGCCTCTTTTTCCGTCCTGAGGTGTTACCCCATCTCGACTTGAATTTCAGAGATCGAGAGGGAAACACGGCACTGCATTTGGCCACACAGCTCGAGATCAAATTCGCGTCTCGCGTCCTGGAGCTATTGCTGTGCTTTGGCGCTGACGCCAATGCGGCCAACTTTCTGAAACAAACGCCACTGCATCTCTGTGCAATGATCAAGCGCAACGGCGTGGCAACGTGCGAGCTCATGGAGACACTTTTGCGACACAAAGCGGATCCGCAGAAGGTCGACTTCCTCAAGCGCTCACCTTTGCACTATTGCATGGAAAAAGGTTAGTGCTGACGTGCGGTCGTGCATACTCGTGTGATTTGTTTGCTCTATTCCAACTCAGTGCTTTCCTCTTGTCTCGTGCAGGAATGGACGACGAGGCGATATTGTTGATGAAGCATGGAGCGGACATGAACATACCCGATGCGGATGGCACGCGCGTTATAGCGAATCCGAAAGCCACTGGTGTACGTGCTTCTTTCAAAGCTGCTCCGACTGTGCTGATCCTTTCGCTAAACGTTGTTGTTGTGTTGCTGTTTTTGTTGTTGTTATTGTTCAGCTCTTGCGGTATCTGCGCGTGACGCCGTCGTGGATTTCGGACACTGACATACCCGCGTGTATGGTTTGCCTCGAGCCATTTCCCTTCTTCTTTTCGCGCAAGTGCCATTGCGACCGCTGTGGTCGTGTGTGCTGCTCGGACTGCGCGCCCTCGAGTTCGTCCTGGAACGGCCGCTTCTGCTTTGACTGCAAACACTACGCCCACTACTCGTGACGAAGTTTCGGTCGCTCGATGGCCGCACGCGGCGCTGGTTTGATTATTTTATTCGTTTGGCAAGACAAGAGCACAGTCTGTAACATATTGCATCCACATTTACATTTGACGACGTAGGGTATCTTTTCCGAACGATGAATGCAACAGCATTGAAGTTTGACGGATCATCGAGCAGATGGCTACGTGTTACTTCAGCCAGTCCGAAGTCCCAAATTTAGTCTAGTATCAGATCTGGTGAAGGGGAAGATTTCGTCCCATTTGGCCGTCCAAACCGCCCACACAAAGCTGAAGCGATCAGCGCCCCCCAAGAGACGCGGCCAGGGCCACAACGAATCCCTGGGCAGCAGCAGCAACAGCAAACGACGCAGGGATCACGACAGTATGGACGTCACGCAGCAGCTGGAAGCCGACGCGGGCTTCATGGACAAGTACAGCCGCCAGATCGGCGCGTTTGGACTCGAGACGATGGCCAAGGTTCGATTTGATCCCGTCTAAAAATAGAGACCAGTGTGATGGTCGCTCGGACTAAAATTGGGTCTATTTTGTGCAATTGTGCAGTTGGTGAAGCTCCGGGTTCTCGTCGTTGGGCTGCGGGGCGTGGGCATCGAGTGCGCCAAGAACCTGATCCTCGCCGGCCCCAGCGCCATCACGCTGCACGATGAGGGCGTTGCAGAGACGAGGGACTTGGGCACCAACTTTTTCCTGACCGAGGAGGACGTGGGGCAGCCACGCGCCTCTGCTGTCTCGCACAAACTCGCGGAGCTCAACAAGATGGTGTCGGTGGCCGTGCACGAGGGACAGCTGACCGAGGACGTGGTGGCGGCGCACAACGTGGTGGTCTTTTCGCACACGAGCCGTCAAGAGCTGGTGCGCTGGAACCACTTTTGTCGCTGTCAGTCGCCGCCCATTGGATTCATTGCGTGCGACGTTCGTGGGGCTTTTGGCTACGCGTTCACTGACTTTGGTGAGGAGTTTAAGAGCTTTGACGCCACGGGGGAAGCGCCGATTACTCGTATTATCACGGACATTACGACTGACGTGGACGGAGCGCTGTCCATTTTGGGCCCCGATGAGGACGGCAAGATGCACGAGATGCCGGACTCGGACCACGACGGGTGGATTGACATTCGTGACGTGCAGGGAATGAAGCTGAAGAGCGACCCGAATCAGTCCATCAATACGATGGGTCCGCGTCGCATCGAGTTTGCCAACAAGAAGGCGTTTCGCAATGGTAAAGAGGTAGAAGTCTTTGACGCGTACCGTCTCAAAATCGGTGACACATCGGACTTTACACCGTATGAAGGTGGAGGCATGTTTACGCAGCATAAGAAGCCGTTCATGGTCAATTTCAAATCGCTAGAAGAGTCGCTGGTCTCTCCGGTGCCCGCAGGCGAGTTTGGCCTTGCGTTCACGGATGGGGCCAAGTTTGGGCGTGCGGAGCAATTGCACATCATCATGTGGAGTCTTATGGAATTCGAGGAGCGTCACGGACGTTACCCGAAGCCACACAATGATGCGGATGCAGATGAAGTTGTGGACATTGCCAAGATGGGTATTCAGCACGTTTCCGATTATACTCGCGAAGGTGCGCATCAACAGGAGGTGATGCGGCTTGAGGAGCTGGACGAGACGCTAGTGCGACAAGCTGCTTTCTACTCTGCGATCGAGCTGCATCCTCTTGCTGCTTTCTATGGCGGTGTGATCGCTCAGGAAGTTGTCAAGTTCACTGGCAAGTTCACGCCATTGAAGCAATGGCTGCATTTGGATGCGTTTGAGGTCTTGCCTGATAAACGTCCCACGGATGCAGAGCCAATTGGTTCGCGATATGACCACATTATTGCAGCCTTTGGTTTATCGTTCCAAAAGAAACTTGGAAACGTTCGTACATTCCTGGTAGGGTGTGGTGCGCTTGGATGTGAGTACCTGAAGAACTTTGCCATGATAGGCGTTGCGTGCGGCGAACATGGTCTTGTGACTGTCACAGACAACGATCGGATCGAAGTGAGCAATCTGAATCGTCAATTTCTCTTTCGAGAGCACAACGTGGGCCAGCCCAAGTCCGTAGCTGCTACGGCTGCCGTTCATCAGATGAATGCTGATCTTAATGTGAAAACCCTTGAGCAGTTGGTGGCTCCGCATACAGAAAACGTTTTCGACGACGACTTTTGGACAGGCGTGGACATCGTCACGAACGCCCTGGATAATGTGAAGGCACGATTGTATGTGGACAGCAAGTGTGTCTTTCACAAATTGCCATTGTTGGAAAGCGGAACACTAGGCACGAAGTGTAACGTACAGGTTGTGATCCCCTACAAGACACAGAGCTACGCAGATGGTCCGAAGGATGCTGAAGGTGACGGTATCCCAATGTGCACGTTGCGAAACTTCCCTTCGCTCATTGAACACTGCATCGAGTGGTCGCGCGCGCAGTTCGAAGACTTGTTTGTTGTGCCGACCGCAGAAGCGAAGAAATTTGTCGAGGATCGCGCAGCTTATTTGAGCCAGATCGAGAAGGCGACCCTGGAAAACTCGAATGCGAAACTCGTTCCAGCAGCTATCGTGCAAGAGCTTGACCGCCTCCGTGACCTACGTGCCACCCTGCAGATAGCGAGAGGTGTCACGTTCGAGAAGTGTGTCGAGCTGGCGTTCAAGCTCATGACGTCGCGCTTCCGTGACCGTATTCTGCAGCTCATTCACAACTTCCCGGAGGACCATTTGACTAACTCGGGCGAGAAGTTTTGGTCCGGGGCGAAGCGTTTTCCGCAAGCCGTGGAAGACTTTGACCCCACGAATCCGCTGCACCTGAACTTTGTTCGCGCCACTGCTAACATTTTAGCTGTTTGCTACGGCATTCAACCGCCTCCTGAGCAAGAGTTGGTCGCTGCTGATGCCAAGTGGCGTGACCCGTCTACGTTCGCAGAGTTTGGCAGCAACTATGTCCCGCCGGCATGGAAGCCGTCAAACGAGAAGATTGCCGCCGACTCGGATGAAATCAAGCGTCTGGAGCAGGAGAAAATCAAGAACTCGAGCGATTCTGATAAGAACGAGCTCATTGCGCTGATGGATGAGCTCAGAGCGTTCGATCTCTCGGGTTTGTCGTTCGAGCCGGCAGATTTCGAGAAGGATCAGGACATGAACTTCCACATTGATTTCATTTACGCGGCATCCAACTTGCGGGCCTTCAACTACCGCATCCGCGATGCGTCGCGTCACAAGTGCAAGATGATTGCGGGCAAGATCATTCCAGCCATTGCAACTACGACAGCGTCCGTGACCGGCCTAGCAATGCTAGAGATGCTGAAGCTAGTACAGCGCAAGGAGCTGGAGGCTTTCAAAGACTCATCGAACTCGCTGGGGCTGAACATGTATCTGATGCAGGAACCAGCGGCCCCTGCTCGTGCAAAGGATGAGTACGATGTAGTGGAAATGTCCGAGGTGAAGTGCAAGCCTCCTGGATTCACGAAGTGGGACTCTACTGTCATCGACTTGACGCCTGGGTCGACCCTCGACGACTTTCTTGTTCTGTTCAAAGCGAAGACGGGGCTCAACTGCGACTTGCTGTTCCACCGCGTGGCAGAAATGAGCAACGCCGGCGCCGGCGACAAGGACCCGCGCTACCGCGCGGTCAGCGGCTTGATGCTCTATGACCGCAACGCCTATGGCAAAGCGTTGCAAGACCTCTATGCCAGCCAGATGGCACAGCCGTTGCGTGCCTTTGTGGAGTCGCGTTACGAAGGACTCGTGGACTGCAGCCGCAAGTACATTGAGCTGCAGACGTCGTGCACTGACGACGCCGACAACGTGTACAAGGTGCCGACAGTCATTTGCAAGTTCGGCTAGAAGCGGATCAAGCAGAAGAGGCCGCAGAGCGCGTGTCGACAGAGGGAAAGGGTGACGCCATTTGCATTGTACGTAGGATGGCCAATGACGTTTGTAGATGGTCATGTCACATCAACGGAAAACACAATGAAGTCAATGGCTGCCGACAGCACGTGTTGTTGCACACTGACACCTGACGATTGGTTGTGGCACCTGGTCGTAAAAGCACTGAGTACAAACCGGTTTTCGCACTTGTACGAAACTCGTGAAAACGCCACTCGTGGTTTCGACGTTTCTATTTCGAGCGCAACGAGGCCCCCGCGTACTCACTCGTCGCCCGTCGGCGCTGCCACTCGCTGACGATGGACGACATCGAGGACATGATCAGCAACGAGGAGGTGGACCGCGTGGCCTCTGCCTCTGTGCGCACGCCCATTGTGGCCCCCAAGCCCCTCTTCGAACCGACGGCGACGCCTGTGGGCACCGCCACCAGCAGCAGCAACAGCAGCAGTTCGGACGCGGACGTCAAGGAGGGGCCTCGTGTGCCGGGGACGCAGCTCCTGTGGGTCAAGACGTACGGCTGTTCGCACAACGTGAGCGACTCGGAGTACATGCAGGGCGTGCTCGCGAGCTACGGGTACCGCTTCACACAGGACCCCGACGTCGCGCAGCTCTGGCTGCTCAACAGCTGCACGGTCAAAGATCCGTCGCAAGCTGCCTTCATGCACCTGGCTCTCAAAGGCCGGAAGCTGAACAAGGCCGTGGTCGTAGCTGGCTGTGTACCGCAGGCTGACCGACACCTGAAGGGCCTCGAAGACGTCAGTATCGTGGGCATTCAGCAAGTGGACCGAGTTGTGGAGGTCGTGGAAGAGACGCTCAAGGGCCATACAGTGCGCCTTTTGTCCAAGAACCGGCTGCCGGAACTGGATCTGCCCAAAATCCGCAAGAACCCAATGGTCGAGATCATTCCGCTGAGCACGGGCTGTCTGGGAGCGTGCACGTACTGCAAGACACGTCACGCGCGTGGCAAATTAGGGAGTTACACGGTCGAAGCGATTGTTTCGAGAGCACAGTCGGTGATCCGAGAGGGTGTGACGGAGATATGGCTGTCGAGTGAAGACACGGGAGCGTATGGTATCGACCTCGGCACTGATCTGCCTACACTACTGCACAAGTTGCTGGAAGTTGTGCCAGATGGGGTCATGCTTCGGGTCGGCATGACCAACCCACCGTATATTCTGGATCATTTGGATGCTATAGCTAAAGTCCTGAAGCACGAACGAGTTTATGCGTTCTTGCACGTGCCTGTGCAATCAGGCAGTGACGACGTGCTGTTGGCCATGAATCGCGAGTACACGGCTGGCGAATTCTGTCGTGTGGCGGACGAGTTACTTGCTAAGGTCCCGGATCTCACACTGGCAACCGACATCATCTGCGGCTTTCCGACAGAGACCGAGGAGCATTTTGACGAAACGATGAAGCTTGTCGAGAAGTACCGCTTTCACATTATGAACATTTCGCAGTTTTACCCTCGGCCAGGAACGCCGGCAGCCAAGATGAAACGCGTTCCAACGCAGGTGGTGAAGAACCGCAGTCGCAAGCTCACCAAGCTGTTTGAGACATTTGAGCCGTACACGCATCTTGTGAACACGACACAGAAGGTTTGGGTGAACACAGAGGTTTCCGACGACAAGAAGTACACGGTAGCACACACGAAAAACTACACCAAGGTTCTGCTTCCTCGCGATGACAGCCTCATTGGGTGTGCGGCTGAAGTGCGCGTCCTCAGCGCTGCACGATTCCACGTTACAGGCGAGGTGATCTCTCGCTTTCAGCCCGCAACCACAGCGGCGGCTGCCATACGCGAACAGATCCGAACCGAAGGTGACCTGGCGGCAGCAGATCGATTGAAAGCTTTGTCGAAAGCAAAGTTCACTGCAGTGTCTGCTCGCAATGGTGATGGCAGTGGCCATGACCGCTTGCACGACGACGATGGCGGCGACCACCAACGTAGAGAAGACGAATGCTGTGGTGGCGATGGAGCGAACTGCTCGTCTGTTGAAAAGGACAGCGGCAGCAGGTCCAGCACGGATCCAGGGATGGAGAAGCTGGTAACGGAGCCGATGCGGAAGACGAAGCACATGGATTTCGACGTGACTGATGGCATGGTATCTACAATCACGACGGCGTTGGTGGCGAAGTGGGGTGAAGTGTGCAACGATAAGGTGGCGCTCGCTTCTCTCGTGACCCTTGTGGCGTCGGCATCTTTTGTCGCAGTCCGTGTGCTTACGCGCAAGTGATCAAGTGGGTTGCGTGAAAACACAGGCTCAATAGCTGCGAAAGCAGCCGATGTTCCAAGCGATATGTCCAAAATGACGCGTCGTTGTCGACAGCGTCATCAACGATGTGAGGTTGTGCTACATCCGCTGACTCCAAAAGTGCTACGATGTGCAGAAGTATAGATGTACGGCCAACATGTCATTTAGATTCCCTTCTGGTTTGTCCGAAGCGTCTGCACGTGGGCCGCTTATGGTCGACGCACGCAGGATGTCTCTAGAAGGATTGCCGCCAGTCATTGGATTCTTCCCGCATGTGGTCCAACAGTATCCCGTCGAGTAGCTTTGCCCCTGGCTGCAAACTTGACACACTTCGGGTGAGTTGGCAATGACTAACGAAAATACGACAACTAGTTTCGTTGAGCGGACGTTGGCGTCTCGGACGTTATGGTCAACGCGCAACAGCGTCTTTGTCCTGTTCACGCGCCATTAAGTTGGCTGATAGCAGCATCACTACTTCACCGCAAAAAGCAAAGGAAGACACGACGTAGTCGAGAGGAGGCGCAGATGCTCACAAAGTATTTGACACGAGTGCGCGCAGTCAGAGGACTTTGTCAGAGAGCAGTGCTACTGACCAGAGATCGAGACTTGCTACCACTATGCAGACACTATGCTGTCGCGAGCTCGTCCTCTCCGTGAATGCAAACAACTTGAACGAGTAAGTGCTTCTGGGCCACACAAGTGCTTCTGGTGCCCACGTTTCAATCGATCGTCCTGACCCCACTGTAATGTTCGCAATACTCGTGACTTGGCGAGGCCATCATCGGCATTGACTCGGACCGAGACCAGAGACGCTGTTGCGACGCTCGAAGTACAAAACCGGATCCGACGCCGTGGCACACAGAGTGCGATTGGTATCATATTGGCCGCCGTCGGATCGACTACGCGCATTCCCTCTCTCGTGCGTCGACACAGTCGGTAGTGTTCCACGCAATCCCAGCGCCTTAACAACCAAATGCGTCATCGCAGGCCGTGTGGACGTCGGTATGTTTTTCTTCTGTTCTTTTCAGGGGTTCACGGACCACCTGCGACGTCACTCGATCGTCGTCGCTGCCGCAATTTCGGCGCAAAATGTCACACGAGTAGTGTGGCCAACGACAGTGTCTCTCGCTCTTTACCGCATCCGTTAATGCAGTCTCTTGACGTTTTTTTCCTTTCTTTCTTTCTTTCGACCTGCACACATTGGCAACAAACACCCGCCAAGAACGCGCTAAGTTCCATCTAAGTGCGCTCTGCTCCGCCCCTGGTGTTCGACCCCGCACGTAAAAGCGCAACGATAGGTCCGAAAAAAGCGTAACCCTATGTACGCCTTATGTACGCATTCGCCCTCCCATCATCGCCCGGCACTCGGACCATATCACTCACTCGCTGTCGGCCCGAGAGAGAGAGAGAGACAGAGAGAGAGAGAGAGAAGAGAGAGAGAGAGAGAGAGAGAGAGAGAGAGAGAGAGAGAGAGAGAGACACAGACACAGACACATGACGAGCGTGAACGACGTGGCGCTGGAGGAGCTCAAGCCCGCGAGCAGCAGCACCAGTGGCGGCAGTAGCGGTCTCGACGAGTGGATCGAGAACCTGCGCCACGGCAAACTGCTGAGCGAGCTGGAGCTCAAACAGGTGTGCGAGATGGTGAAGCTGCTGCTCATCGAGGAGTCCAACGTGCAGCCCGTGAGCAGCCCCGTGACCGTGTGCGGCGACATCCACGGCCAGTTCTTCGACCTGCTGGAGCTCTTTCGCTGCGGCGGCGACATTCGGGACACGAACTACATTTTCATGGTCGGGGGTCCTGTTTCGTTGCTGTTTTCGTGTGTGGGAACGGTCAGGAGGACAGATGGACACTTGGGGGTGCAGGTGGGGCTGACGCACGTGTGTCGCTGTTGCTGTTCTTGTCGATGTGGACGTCTGTAGGGCGACTTTGTGGACCGCGGACACAACAGTGTAGAGACCTTTGAGCTCCTGCTGTGCCTCAAAGTGCGCTACCCCGACCGCATCACTCTGCTACGTGGGAACCACGAGTGCCGCCAGATCACGCAGGTCTACGGCTTCTACGAGGAGTGCGTGCGCAAGTACGGCAACGCCAACCCCTGGAAGTACTGCACGGACGTGTTTGACTACCTCAACTTGGCTGCGATTATCGACGGCCGCGTGCTGTGTGTGCACGGCGGCTTGTCGCCAGAGCTGCGCACGCTGGACCAGATCCGGACAATAGAGCGCCAGCAGGAGATCCCACATGAAGGATCGTTCTGCGACCTGATGTGGTCGGACCCGGAAGATATTGAGACGTGGGCCATGAGTCCACGTGGCGCTGGCTACTTGTTTGGCGCCAAGGTCACACAAGAGTTTAACCAGATTAACGGGCTGGACCTCATCTGTCGGGCCCACCAGCTTGTGCAGGAAGGTTTCAAGTACATGTTTGACAACAGCCTCGTGACGGTCTGGTCAGCACCCAACTACTGCTACCGATGCGGTAACGTTGCAGCTATCCTGTCCTTCGATGAGAACCTCGAGCGTGATTTCAAGTTGTTTCGCGAGGTACGACAAGTCGCGCCTTCTCGTGCAGTGCAGCGCTCACGGCCTGACGCATCTTGTTTTTCTACTGGTTGTAGGTTGCTGAGTCGTCCGACGGCTTCAACCAGCGTGCGCTCGTGCCGTATTTCCTGTAAAGTGACTGCCAAACTACGACGGTCGACGTCCCGCGTGCGTTGATGCGCTGGACTGGCGGCTTGCGGCCATGTAAGGCGTTTCGCACTCTCTTTACATCGGAAAAAGGGACAACGACATTAGCTATTAGATATCCTATGAGGAGTTTAATCGATGAATCCTTCACACTACCTCGGCATCGGAGCATGTGTTGCTGCCGCATTGAGCACTGCTTCACGACACGGGCGTCAGTGGCGTTGCATGTATCACTTGAGGCTCCGACATCGAGCTTGTCTGCACAGCGTATGCAAAGTCCCACCCGTGGCCAGCTCCGCCGTATTCTCCGAATCGATTCAAGCACACCATGCCTCCCAAAAAGTGCGGGTACACTGCAGCGATTTGGCGCAAGGCGTACTCGCAAGCTGTTTGCGGCTAGCAACCGGTCGCACACCACGAAGTGTTATGATTTTGCACAGCATGTTACAAAACGAGAGACAGCCATGACGTACATGCACACCCCTCTTCATTTCTTGTACCGCAACGAACGAAGGGAGGAACCGCATCATCACGTCGCCATCTCCAGTAGCAGCAGCTCCACCAATCGACGAGTCAACGTAAGCCCCGGCACCTGGCACTGCGGCATCACCGACACGTCTAGTGGACAGCAAAACTGTGACTGTCAGACTGTGCCACCACAACCACGACCACTGCAACGAAACGAACCTCACCCAGCGATTTTGTGCGATGCTCCATTGGAACTCGTGCCCGCAGCCATGTGCCCACTGCTCGCTAGGGCCACCATTCCAATCGTGTCGTGGTTCGCTGTCGAGATCAGCTTTTGCACGCCAAAGTGATTTTGCCTGTCGGTCAGTAACAACAGCGACTCGTCTTGCAGCTCTGCCGAATACACTGCGTGTGGCGCCACCCGAAATGGCTTATACGGCGGACACGACGTGTTTTGTCCATGCACGTTGCGAAAGTAGTTGGGCTGGCAGTGGCTGTCCTGCCACCGCTTGAACAGCTCCTGCGAGCGCGGCGTACTGAGTGCCGTCTCGTTGAACCCCATCATTTTCGCAAACGCCAGCGCGCCGTCGCCAGCCAAAATGCTGTGCGACGAGTGCTCCATCACAGCGCGGGCCACGCGGATCGCAGGCTTCACGCGCCGCAGCTGCGCGACGGCCCCCATCTCCATCGTCGAGCCGTCCAGGATCATGGCGTCCAGCGTCGTCTCTCCATCCGAGTCGGGACTGCCTCCGAAGCCGACCGTGAAGTCGCACTGGTCCACTTCGCAGCGATTGCAGCCCCATGTGATGGCGTCCAGAGCGGGAGAGCGACTGCCGGACCGCTGCAGCGCCGCGAACCCCGCGCGAGTGGCGTTCACGAAGGGCCACGTATTGACCACGACGTCTTGTGGCTGAGGCCGTGCGTCACGTGCAGAGTGCAGAAGTACCACAGCGCCCGCGAGCACTGCAGCGCCACTACAGATCCCGCGCCGAAGCCACAGGTGCATGATCGACTCGAGCCGCGCGGGCGATCAGACATGGAGCGATCATTTCAGGACACGTCAGGTGGCTGTCGTACTTAAGCGGACATAGCTCGGCTTGCATTGAGGATCTCGACGATTGGGTCAGGTCTTGTGTGTGTTATACCATAGCAAGTGCACGCGCTATTTGGATAAACGATTTACACCTTTTGACAGAGACCGACAAAAAGACGACCGTACGAATTTGTACACTCAAAACGTTGTTGCTTGCAGCTGGAACGTGCTGTTGGCAAACTCGCCACCATTGACAGTCGTGGATTGTATTGGTTTCGTTTTGCTATAAGGTGCGCTGCAGCTGCAAGGTGAATGTGTTGTCCTTCTCGCTTGACTCTTCTTTGATATGGCAATCGCTAGATTGTTGTCCAGCGCAACCTGTCGAGACACTACGATGAGCTTCTGGATACATTGCGATCTCGAGTATTTTGTACATGCTCGTTTTCTCGACTCATATATGGAATCTGCGATCCGTGGCTTGTGCATAAGTGTGTAGCGTCGTCTACTGGCTCGAATAAATAGCGTCAGACTACATACAATCTTGGCGACGCTTATGGATGGGCGACGTGATCGCTTGCCATCATAATTTTACTTCACGTATGCGAAAACATGCTTGTTAGGTCTTTCCTCAATCCACCACTATGTCAGAAGTCTCTGTTGGAACGCGGTGAGCCGTTGCATATCAATTGCAACCAAACATGTGTGTCAATGAGGATTTTATCTAAATCGATCACGTTCTCCAATATTTTCTTTGTTTTGAGGAAGCGTTGGACGAATATGGCCGTCATGTATATTTTCGTCACACTTCATCTTACGGATTGTTATAGATCACTAAATTAACGAGCACGACGAGCAATCGATCCAGACGCGCGCAATAGGTGGTGAAACAATTCAACATAGTACGCATATGTAGTTTGACGAAGTCAAGTAAGAAAAAAGAGAGATTGCTTTATGAGACCCTGCACTTCCTGTATAAAGTCCTTTATTCTTCGACTACGTACGTTTGTTTAGGATCCTAACTTTTTGTCGGCACGTGTCAGTGTACACGAAGGCTTACAAAATATTTGGCCACTCTTTCGTCAGTGAAGTTTGATTGTACTGCGTTATTACAAAATCAGTGGCCCGTTACGCGTTATATGACGTTGATAGTAGTAAACGTTGAAGCGAATACTATTTTGTCCGAAATTTACCTTTAATACTACATTATAAGGTAATAGTCAGTAACTCCCGATAGTTTGTTGATAGAACATTTAATCCGCCAACAAAGCTTAGAAAAATGGTCGGCATGTGTGGTAAAGCGACTATGGAAATTCGCTTTAGAGGAACTGATCGCATTCCCGTTATGTCCGAGCCACTTTACGGTTGCCTGCACGGTCCCACATCTGGTCAGATCGCGTCCATTAAACAGTCATACTAAAATGGATATCAGATCGGGCAAGTTGGGACCTGCAAATTTTGGATCAAGGTATGAGGCGGAAGGTAACGTTGTCGATCAGTCGATCAAGAAGGGAACTGCGATCAGCAAGGCAATCGCGATCAAGATGGCGATCGAGATCGTGATTAGTAATCGAGATCGTGATCAGTGATCAGGTAAGTGATCGCGATCAAGTTGGTGTGGAGCACACCATGTGATCCGCGATCAGCAAGGCGATCGCGATCAGGAAGCGATCGAGATCAGGAAGCGATCGAGATCAGGAAGCGATCGCGATCAGGATCATTGATCAGGTATGTGATCGCGATCAGACGAGCATATCAGGTGTTGGCCACGCAAGTACAAGATCGCTACCGTCTAGAGAGAGAGAAATGTGGCAAACGATGTCCAAGACATGGGGATAGGCAAAAGAGCTGTTGGGTTTGATTGGTTAACATTAAACAGAGTTCAATTTGCTTCAAAGTACACGTGTCGACTTCTCCTCCGGGTGGATCATTGGCCACCTGACGTCAAGGAAAGGTCTACATACTATAATCAAGTGATATCCCTGGAAAGTTTTGGTCAGGGATCAAGATCTCACAAACAACACCCCAACTGCGACTGGACGCATGAAACCCTTTGTGGTTGAGGACCCAAGATCGCGAGGCGGCTCAAGTGGTCAGAAGGCTCGCGAATCAAGGTCTACATTTGGGCAAGGCGATCTGTTACAGATCAGGGTGACTCATATCGAGCACCCCACAAGCATAAAAGTTATCGCGTGACAAATTCGACGTGATCACACCAACCCCTATCGTGGTGTGAAGATTTCCACACCGTGATCGAACCTCGACCCCATCGCAAACACGGTCAAGTTTTCGATTGACACGAGTCCACCTGGAAGAGTACAACCCGCCCCACCGACGGGTACACAAGGTGAGAAAGGCAATCAAGAACACGAAATCGGTGTACCCCTTCCGTTAGTCGGTCGTCCGGGAGCCAGTGGAAAGTTAGGATCGACTCCTCAAAAGAGCGATCACCACTCCACCACAATGGTGCGCGTGCTTGGATCTTTTGGTGACTCGGGATTTCACCGTGAGTCCCTGAGAGAAGTTGTGAAGATAAAATATGAACCTGGGGTGGAAGCGTCGAAGGCCAAGGAATCGCCACAGACGCGTGAGTCTGAAAGATTCTCAGTTCATCAGAGTTCTGGGAGGGGCTCTAATGACAAGAAAATAAAAGAGGAAAATCGATCGCTCGATTTAGAAAAAAACCTCGACTCCCTCCTGAGGGCCTTTCGGGGACCACCGCGGATCGTGCAACAAAGCATGATTCGCAGGGTGAAAGCCCATCGGGTAAATTTCGGGCAAGAGCTTCCCAAAGCCACACCCGCGATCTCCAGAAAAGATCGATCGAGGACGTTGAGGGTGAAAGAAACAACGGCCGAGCCTGATTAACGTTAACAAGTTGAGAACAAGATCCCGAAGCCGTTCAAGTTCGTTGAAGACGAGATCAAGATATAAGGTTGGCAATATGAAGAACTGGCCAAGATGTACGAGTGGAAGATGCTCAAGAATCTACTATCAAGCGACCCAGTACTCCAAGTACTGAAGCCAAAGCTGATCGATGAGATTTAAGGTCCGGTATCGACTCCGGCAAGTGCATCGAACATGCTGGAAGTAATCTATGGAACCATGAGACTTTTGCATGAAGCTGGATTCGTGGTAGAGATGATCGATGTGAGAAGGTTGTTGAATTTTGCTCAAGATCAAATTACCTGCGCATGTCAATCGCTGTACGAGAAGCTGATCCCTCTCACAGGCAAAGCCAAGATTGAAGATCAAGCGATTACCGACCGCCAACATGACGGAGTAATACCACACTAGATCGTCGCAATATGCCTCAGCGGAATTCGAGATCGAATAAGACACCTCTATCGGCATTCAAAGAATGTCATTAGGTCCCAGTGGTTCCTTTCATCTGCATGATCGCGCCAAAGGAATCAAGGCACAGCCGCGATCGGCAGCTATACGCGCCTCCGAAGATGATGCAGTGGCCTCACAAGAACATCTGCTGTCCTACACCGACAACGCAATGGAGCGATTCGAACAGAGGCAGCGGAGTCAAGCCTGTCAAGCGATCTACCCGAGTTAAGCGATCAAGATGCCAAGAGCGCTAGAGACATATTTTCCGGATATGGAGATGGAGTCGGTTGGATCGCGTCAAGTTCAATCAGACTTTGGCGATCACAGAGAACATGCCCCGTACGAATCGGAGCGGGAAGACCCGAGGCGGTCATCAACGACGCCTGCAAAAGTTTCAACAAATCAAGTGCCTTTTTCTCATCGTATCCGTTTCTCGGTGATCGGCGAGCTATAGAAATTCAATGGCAGAGACCGAGACGAAGATCGCGCCTGAAGCTGGATCAACAAGGCAAGTCGGCGTTCCTAAGGGACCAAATACCAGATGAAGATAAATGTCTGGTGTTCGGTGATATACTGACGGGACCGGCACGGAATTGACACAGTCAAATGAGTCGCTCCACTCGTCGCACCACTCGTCGCACCACTCGTCGCACGTGGAAAGATTTGCTGGAAAGTTTCATGGTTCAATATGGAGGGTACGGCGTGTCAAATGCCAGACAGTATTACCACGCACGTAAACGACCGGATAAAACCCTCTGGAGTATTTACACCGATTGAATGGACCAGCGATCCGAGCCAATGTCGCGATTCGAGAAGGAAGACACGCTACGCGGCGTGAACATGTGGAACATTTTATTTTTACGCTGGACGATCGCGAATTAGCGAAGCAATCGACTCTACTGCGATTGTCGGACGCCGATGACATGGAAAAGATGTTGAGTGCGTATCAGCGTATTGAAAGACGGTACACGAAGGCGTCGATGGGATGAAGCGGGAAAGTTACATCAACGATCAAAAGTTACTGCTGATCAGGTGCCGTCGAAATCAACCCGAGACGTACGAGCGAACAGGGTGGAAAGCGAGAGCAGCAGTTCGGAGTCAGATCCAAGCGGATCGGAAGAGGACGTAGGCCGGCGCAGAGATTGTGCAACTACCGTCCCCACTCGAGTGCAACCAAACCAAGATCATCGTATGCCGCATGGGGAACCTTATCGGGAGGAGTTACGCGATCACGGAGAACGATCAAAACCGTGCGACCACTGTGGATCGATCAAGCATAATGTTCGTGGTTGCTGGAAGCGATAGACTTGCCAGAAGTGTGGTCGTAAAGGACACCCATCGGACAAGTGTTTTTACGCGTGTGGAGCTTGTGGAAAGTGCATGAGAGTGGCAAGTGCCCTTTGTAAAGGTTTTATAATATGATGCGCAAGTGGGAATTGTCTACCAAGCACGCAGGAATGTTTCCTTCCGAGGCGGAGAAGATTTAATCTAGGACGCTCGCCAGGATGGAATCTGGTACGAGCCGAGCGTTCTAGGCTCTGCTTATATGCATTAGCTGAGAAACAAGTGAAGGATCAAGAAGTTAACGATCAGGCCGAGCCGATCGCTAATACACGTATTGATTCAACTTGTGTCCCGGC